CCAGTGCACACATCCTGCACTGTGTCGCAGGGCCTGCCGGGCAAGTGTGGGACCGAGAGCAGGAGAAAGGAACAGAGACAAAGAGAAACAGAGACACAGGGGAGAAAAATAGAGAGGGAACACAGACCCGTACACAGAGAGAGTCAGAAAAGACATGGAGAGTGAAAGAATGACGAAAGACAGTCATATAGATCCATGAAGAGAGGGAAAGGTGGAGAGAGGTTCAGACAGAGGACGAAAGGCTGGCAGACACAGACACACAGAGAGAAAAGGAAGACAGACTGAGAGACAAACATAGAAAGGTAGGAATGGACACAGCATGACTGTAATGTGAGCCAGTCGAGACAGACCTAGAGAGACAGAGAGAGGACATGGGGAGAGCAAGAGGCAGAGTGAAATGAGGGAGGCAGAAGGGGAGGGAGGCAGATCGTATGGGCTCTGCAGATTTGTGACCACTGGAAGCAAATCTCGCTTCCAGAACGTTCTAGGGCCCAGAGCAGGTGGCGGGGAGAGAAAGAGAGTTCAATGTTTAGACTATTTGATACAGGCAGACTGGGAGAGGGTGGCTGGGGGCAAAGTGGGAACCTCTCTCCCTTGGGGTTAGGCTGGTCAGTGACCACCCAGAATCCCAGCAGCACACCCACTGGCCTCACACAGAACCTGGGCCACCCGCCCAGGATGGCTGTGAGCCCGCCTACCGCCTGGCTCCAGTCTGATTACAGCCAAAGTGCTAAAAGGCTCCAGACCCCCTTGCCCCGCCCCCATGATTCCGCCTCCCCAAGCCTCCCCAAGCCTCCTCTCTTCGTCCCTCTCTCCCTTAGCTCCCTGTTTTCCTTTCTCCCAGGCCCCTTGGGGGAAGAATCTACTCTCCTATTTGGCTACTGGCTGGGAGGAAGAGGGTCCCTGTCACTGCTCTGCCCCACCAAGCCCCCTTCCCTGGTTTGGGCTGGATCCTTCTTCCCTCCAAAGCCCTCTTGGCCTGGCCTCTTTGAGACACGTTCCATGCCTCGCCTGGGAGCTCATAAATACCAAGGAGAGGCCAGTCAGGCTATGTACAAAGTGTAGATTCCCCACTCCACCCCCCTCAAAAGCCCCTGGGTTCTTCCCAAGCTCTCTCGTCTTCCCTAGGCACCTGCATGGGGTGGCTGGGGAGGGAGAGATGGGGTGGGGGCACGAGGGGCCTGTGTGAACCTGGCCCTATTTCAAATAAGACTTGCCTCCGTCTGCAAAGAAACCTCAGGAAAGGCGTCTCAGGGCCCCTTGTGCAAGCAGCAGGCTCAGGAATTCCTTGACTCCCATCCAAACCTCCCCCCAGCCCCTTCTCGGCCTTTCTCTCTGCTCATTACCATCCACACCACCTCCCACCCACCAGGAAAGAGAGAAGGTCATCACCAAAGAGGCCCAGGGAAGGGGGCGGGTGGCCTCCTCAGGGGCTCAACCCGGGTAGAGTAAGAGCTGTTTACCCACACCATCCGAGCTCCCCTTAGCTCATCTCCACTCCCATCTAAGAGCCAGTAAAAACTCAAAATCATTCAGCCCCACACAGCTGAGAAGAGAGTGAAAGTAGTCCCCATGGGGGAGCAGAGTATGAGGTTAGATACCCAGGGTGAGGGGGGACCCTTCTTTGGGCAGCCACTTTTGAGAAGGCGGGAGGCTATGGTGCCACCTTGAGGAAGAAGGGAGACTTGGCTCTGCTGGCTGGGGCGAAGGTGCCCTGCTGGAGGCCCCAGGGAATCTAGTGGCCTCTGGGGTGAGGGGCTGAGGGGCTGAAATTCTTCCTCACGTCTCTGCTGACCCTGCGCACTCAATCTGCGGTATACAGCCCTGAACAGCGGAGTCTAGTAGGCTGCCACTCAGGGGACTTGATTGTATTTGCCTGAAAACACCTGGGGAGTAAGGCCCTTTCTCTCCTTCTGTGTCATTTAGGATGCTCTGGCCAGTGCGGGGCATACAGCAGGTGCTCAGTAAGTGCCAACCTGACTCCATGCAGGGCCCTCCAGACCAGAACTTGACTCCCAAATCAGTGACCGGCCCCCCCGCCCCGCCGCCCCACCATTAGGGTGCAGTGGGGGTAGGGGTGGGAGGGAGGGAGGGGCAGTTCAGGCCCTAGCCTAGTCTCTGGCCTTGACCCTCTGGCTGGAAGCCCCACAACAAGCCCTCGCGTGAGGAGCTGAGCTCTCCAGTAGCGTCTAGGACCTTGAGACTGGAAGTTTATTTTGAGATTTGAAGTCCAAAGTGGCAGATCCCAGAAAACCTCTTCTCTGGCTCCGTATTTGTTCTCTAGTTAAGTGGTTGAGTGCAGTTCTTGCAGTCAGCTGGCTCCTGCAGCCTGGGGTTCCTCCTGGGGAACTGGGGGCCCAGAGGGGAGGGGAAGAAGAAGAGGAAGGAGCAGAGCCCCATCTCGGGTTGTCCACTCTAGAGCAGAGGTAGCCTATAAGCACTGGGGAGAATCTTGTCCCCTCACCCACTGCCCTTGCTCCTGGAGCTGCTGATGTTTCTGGGGGCCCCCTTCACTCAGCAACATGCTTTAATAGTTGAGCATCTCTGTTGTGCCAAGACACGGTCCCACTTGACTGTGAGGACAGCTGAAGCCAAAGAAGGGGCCTCAGAAGTGAGTTTGGGGCCCATGTGGGTGAGTCCACACACGGTTAGGGCGGATGTGATCATCTCCAGCCCATCCCACAACCTCGGGCCCATATGTAGAAATAAACCCAGGGCCAGAGTCCCACCCAGGCCTAAACACACAGGGGAGTCTGGGAGAGGCTGCCAGAGCTTGCAGACCTTGTAGACCGCTGCCCAGCATCAGGGTGGGGCTGGGCTGGGGGGAGGTGAAACAGTGGTTCAAGGAAAGGGTCCCGGCCAGGAATAAGCCTGGGCCCACTCCTCTCTCACCTGCCCCTCTCAGGGACGCTCAGCAGAGTCTGACACGAGGGCCAACTGGAGCCTCCCAGACTGAGAGAAAGGAAAGAAGGGGAGGGAAGGGTCAGCTGGTTGGCAGGGAGGGATGTGTGTGGCTGCATGCTGGCCCTGCTTGGTCTTTGTATTCAACCCTCTCTCACTCCTATGCAACTCCAGTCCAGCCCCTACTTCCCACCCTTATCCCCCACACTGCAGGATGTGGACCACCCTGGCTACCTCACTGAATTCCTCTCCTCCCCAGCTCCTTGGCTCCAGCTGGCTGGCTACTGGCTAGCTTTTGCAGACCAGCCCACACCCACCGTGGGGTCTCTGTGTTGGTTGTTCCCTTCGCTGGGGATGCTCTTCACCAAGAATCTGCCTGACTTATTCCCTGGCCTGAATGTCGTCTTAATGAGCCTATCTTGATCATCCTAGTTACAACTCTATTTTCCCCACTGTACTTATCCTTTCTGACATACTATATGTTACTTAGGATGTTTACTGTGTATTGTCCATCTTCCTTCAATAGAAGGTAAACTCCATGAGGGTAGAAATTATTTTGTTTTGCTTTGTTCACTGATGTGTCCTTGGTGCCTAGCACAGTCTGGAACGTGGTAGGCAGTAAATAAGTATTTGTTTAATTAATGAATACACTCTGGCCCCTGCCACAGAAAGTGAGGTTAAAGGAGTGAGGGGGGGGCGGGTTAAAGGTCCTTCTGAGCCCTTCTCCCCCACATCTGCCCCTGGATGTCTGCAGCGTCTCTGAAGCCAGCTGCACCCTGTCCACTCACACTCTGGCGTCTCTAACATCCCCCTTCGAACCACCGCCTGCCCCCAACCAAGAACTGACAGGGAGTTTGGTGTTGAGGAGGGTGGGCAGTTTCCAGCGCATTGTTTACACCAAGGCTTTATAGTTTAGATAAATCACGGGGAGAGGCACGAAAGACACCTGGGAATGAGGGGCTAGGCAGGAGAAACTGAGGCTGGAGAAGAGGTCAGGGCCATTCCCCGGGCAAACTCTCCAAGTTGTAAGGCCAGGGTTTTAAAAAACTTTTTGCATCTCAGTGAGGGCCACTCTGACCCCAGAGGTTCTACGTGCCTCCCTGGTGAGTGCGGGGAGAGAAGAGGGGTGTCACTTTCAGCAGTCAGCACCTCCCCACCTCTTCCTGATTTACCACGCCCGGGTGCGGTGTGCAGGGGCTGGGTGGCGGAGGGGGTGAGGGGGCGGTGGGGAGGAGGAAGGATGGAAAGGCGAAGGGGAGAAATGGCTCCGGGGCTTCCACTCTCTCAGCAGGACCCCCACCCTGGCCTCTGGTTCGGGAAAGCCGCCCAGCTGTTTCTGATTCTTTCATACTTGCAGCCCCGCCCGAGGGGGTGGGGGACCGAGGCACCGGGGGAGCCGGGAGAGACTTAGTCCTGCTGAGGCCGGGCGGTAAAGGGCGGGGAGTCCCTGTCCGGTCCGCAGGTGTGCCCCCTCCGCTTCCGCCTTCGACTCCCGGTCCCCAGGCCAGAGGGAAGCATCGGGGCCGGGCAGGCGGGTGGGAGGAACGAGGAGCAGCAAGTCCTAGAAGAGAGAAGCCCCTACCTGAAGCCGGCTAAGGCGCCCCAGTTTGGCAGCGCTGAAAGGGAGTTAAGATCCTCCCGCAACTCCCGGTGGCAGAGGTTCTACCCATTTCACAGAAGCGCAAGAACCGAGAAAGGACCGAGGAAATGAGTGCATCCTCCGTGGCTCAGCTCCAGTGTCACTGGAGGTTAGAGGACAGGGGAAGTGCCTGCAGCGCCCCCCCCCATTCTGCGCTCCAGGCCATCACCCACGGAAGTTGGGGTTGCCGCATGAAGGACGCTAGGACCCGGTGGCGCGGCGTCGGCCGGGACTGGGCGCTGCGGGCTCCGAAGGGCGCCCCCGCGCCCTGTCGCGTCCCGCGGGAGCAGGTGGGGGCGCGGTGCGGTGGTGCGCGGAGCGCCGAGGGGCGGAGGCGGCCGCCACACCTCGGGCGCTGCGGAGCGCCCGGGGCTGACGCGGGCGGAGCCGCCCAGAGGGCCGCGCGTGTCCCCGACTTCGGCCCCGCCCCGCGCCGTCCAATGAGAGCCCGCGGCCGAGGGGCTGTCCGCACACTCTGCCCGCAGCCCCACTCCGCGCCGCCGACCCCCTGACACCGCGCCCAGCGCCGGGGCAGCGCGTCCCGGACCCCGAGCTTGGCGCGCCCCCGTCGGCTTCCGGACCCCGTTCCTTGCGCCCCTCTCCGGGACCCTGCGACCCGGCTCCTGGACTCCAGGTGCCCCTGGGTCCCCGGCCAGCGGCGAGCCCTATGGCTCCCCAGGGGGGTGAGGTGGGAGCAGCCTGAGTACCCCGAGCCGGTGCCCCATCCACGCCCCTCCGGGCCGCGCGGCGGGAGTCATCGGGGAGCTATGCTGAAGCCGGGTAGTGCGGAGGAAGCCGCGCAGCTCCCCCCTCGGCGCACCCGCGCCCCTGTCCCCGCGCTCGCGCCAGGACCCGCGGCCCCCGACGGCTCTCGGGCTTCGGCCCGCCTCGGTCTTGCCTGCCCGCTGCTGCTGCTGCTGCTGACGCTGCCGGCCCGCGTAGACACATCCTGGTGGTGAGCGCGGCTCTCGGGGTGGGGAGGGTGAGGCGCTGGGCAGACAGAGTCCGGCCGGAGGCGCCCAGAGGCAATACGCAGCTCCTGGCACGGGCTGCTCAGACCAGGCTTTCGCTTCGACGGAATTAGAGACGATTCGAGCAGGACTGTCACCGAAGTCGCGGAGTGTGTGGGGGGAGGTGGGGGGATAGGTGTGCAGCTCGCCCAGCGAGGTGGGCCCTGGGCATTCGGAGCAAAGACGCCCGGTGGTCGAGGCTTCCCAGACTCTCGTGTGCTGGGCCCGCTCCAGTTCAGCTCAGTCCTCTTAGGAGCAAAAGCTACTTTCCAGGTTTCTCGCAGGGTGGATTCAAGGAACCAGTCGCCCATCCGGGGGGCCTTGAGTGGCCGTCCAAAGGACCCTCTGATCGCCTACGGTCGCCCCCCTGAGAAGTGGAGAAAAGCGCAGCTAAGCAAGGGCGCACGGGCCTCTCGCTCGTCCACCCCACCCGGGAACGCAGTAAGACTTCGGGGAGGCTGCAGCACGCAGCGCAAGGCTCAGAAATGGAATCAATGCAAAAATACTCCATTAACTCCCACAATTAAAACAAACAAAACACTTGGGTTTGCATAATTTTGGCGTTTGTCTTCAGTGGCAGCTTTGAGGAGGTTACTTCGAACCTTGATATCCCTCTCTTCTTCCTTTTTCTTCCCCTAGATGACCACCCTATCTCTTCCATCTCTCTCCCCTCCAAGAACTAGAGGCTTCTGGAGTCCCACAGTATTAAGAGACGCTCCCCTCGGATTTCTTGCAGGCCTGAGACTCCAGACACTTCACAAGAGGGCAGATGAGGCAAAAGGCATTAAAACACCCACTGGATGTCTGTTCTTTTCCGAATCCTCCTGCGGCCCCCCCCACCCCCCCAGCCCTGGATGGCATTCATCTTTTTCTCTCAGGAGAAAGAGCTGCTCTCCCTCCTCCCCCACCTTCTGTGCGGGGGGGGGGGGGGGGGGGTTGGGGGGGAGTTGGACTGAGAAAAGACAGTCTTCTCATCTTTCCTCTTCACTGACCCCCCCCCCCAATCAAACTGGCCTCAGACTGGGCTCTTGCCCCTCCCTACCCATGCAGTGCCCCCTTCCTTTCCTTACGCTGCCCCTCCCCCCCACCCTCCCCACCACAAAGAGGGGTCTCTCCTCCCCTTGCACCCTGTGGCTTTTCTCCTCTAGACTTGGAATCTTGGCTAGAAGGGTGAGGGGTGGGCTGGCTGAGGGGCCAGCAAGCTTGGGCTGCAGATTCCTATCATTTCAAGATGCGTTGCTCTCCATCCCCACCCCCCACCCCCCATTTTCCTGTTTCAGGAAAATCTCTCTTTTGGATCTTTTTAATCTCTGCAGTGTTGGGGAAGGCAAGGGAGGGGGTTCTGGATGGGGGAGAAGGGAGGCCCGTATCTTACATCTGGCTTGAAACATTCTTTTAGGAAGGGAAAGAGAAGAGGGGACGACAAGGAGAAAAGCCTTTCAACAGAGCCACCCTTTACCATCAGGGGCTCAGTTTGGCTGGGGATTTGTGTGTTCAGTGGCCCGATGGAGAGAGGATGAAGTGACCACTGCCCATCTTTATCCATCCCAGATGGCAGTTTGCCTTTAGGGACTCTTGATTGCTTCTTATCAGTTTGGGAGGTAGTTTGGGGACCACTTGGTGTTTAGGTGAGGAAGCGACACTTTGCTAATTTCAGCATCCTGGTAGTGCTTCCTAAAGATCCAACTAGCGTGCTTCCCGATCCCCAAATGCTACTTGGCTACTCCCTCTCCTTTCCTTTCTCTCTTCTACTCTCACCCCACGTGGTTCACATTAAATGTTTTGGAAAAACTCTGGGTAGAAGAGCTAGAGAGGGCGCAAGCCAGTGATACAGAGGGATTCAGCAGTCCCAGTGAAAGCGAGGAAGGCAGCAACGGATCCAGGACGGGGAGTGAGTGCAGAGGTCATTTCAATCTCCTTGAGTCACACCTGTCACAGCTGTAGGCCCCAGATGACTGCCTCAGTGGTCATCACTTCTGAGATAAAGTGGAAAGCTGCTTTCTAAAGGCAGGTCAGGCCCCCAAGGTGATTATCTCTCTTTCCTTTAGGAAAAAACCCCAGCAAGATTGATATTCTGTCCAAACCCTGGAAGAGATGCCTGTTGACTCTGTGTGTGTCCATGTTCCAATCCGGAGCAGAAGGTCATCACTATCGCCAGCTAACAGTCTGATCTTCCCCACGGCCCTTCCCTTACTCTCCAGTCACTCCTTCCCTCTCCCCACCTCTCACTGGAGGAGGAAACAGATGGTCTCTTCTTATTCTGTGATAAACAGAACAAGAAATAGGGGGCTCCTCGCATGTGCTTCCCTGTTCTATTTTGCATTCTGCAGGGAGCTGGATGTAGGGAATCCCAAGAGCAGGACAGTGTTCGTGGATTCACGAAGGGAGAGGAACAGAGTGGTATCATAATACTAGCATTATTGTTACCAACGACGATTGCCATTTCATGAGCCTTTACTAAGCTCTGGACACTAGAGCTAAGTACCTTATGAGCACCATCTTCTTCAATCCCCAGAGTAATCCAGGGAGGTAGATACTATTATTATCCCCATTTCACACATGAAGACAATGAGGGCTAGAAGGGGAGTGGTAAGAGACTTTGCCCAAGTGCACACCAGTTTTGGAGCTAGATTGCTCTATTCCTGGTTAAGCACTGTATTGTCTCTCTTGCTCTTGGGATAAAAATGAACTTGGACTTTGGAATCAGATGTCCTTGGTTCACCTGGTTCTCCTCTGACTAGCCCTGATGGACAGAGCTGGGTGTTATCACACTCCCTGACCCTCCGTTTCTTCATCTGTAAAATGGAGATCTCTGTCTGTCTCGTATGATTTTTGTTAAGGAAAACGTTTTATCAACTGTAAAGCACCATATAGGTATAGAGAGATCCAGGGAGGGTAATAGTTTTATCCCTGCATTCAAAGCCCTGTGTGGGCTGGGCTGAATTGTGTACACTAGGGACTGTAAGAGGGGAAATGAAAAGAGGATCCCTGGCCTCATTAAAAAGACACAAATATAAAACATCTGCAAATAGGCTGGCAATGTCAACAGGAGTGAGGCTGTAATTGAAATGAAGTTTATGGCCGGCTAGGGGGAAAAGAGAGTTGGCGGTAAATCAGAGCAGTTAGGTGTTTATTCAACAAACAGTTATTAAGTATCTACTATGTGCCAGACACAGTTCTAGGTTCTGGGGATAGCAAAGTGAACAAAACAGACAAAAATCCCTACCTTCGTGGAACAGGGTGTCTGAATCACCTGGGGATGTTGGTAAAAATGCAGATTCTGATTCAGTAGGCTGGGGGTGGGGCCCAAGGCTCTGCATTTCTAACAGATCCCCAGATGACGCTGATACTGTTGTTCTTTATCGGGGCCACACTTTGAGAAGCAAGGGACTAGAGTAGGGTATGAGTCACTCTGTCAAAGGAAGGGATGTGAATTGGTCAAAAGCAGGTGTAGGGAGCATTCTGGGGCAGGAAGCCGGGAAGAAAGTGAAAACTTCTGAAAGGGAAAACAGAGCTGGAGTCGGGGCATTTCACCCCCTCTTACCAGCCAATGAGCTGGGGGGTGCCTTAAACATCTTTGTGCCCTAACAGCTGAGCTCCATGCTTGGCACACGGTAGGCATTCTGCAGGCATGTGTTGAATTGAGAGGGGGCTCAGGCTCAGTTTTATTGGAGGCCCCCACACCAACTACAAGGGCCTGACCACTGGCCTGCAGGCGAGCGCCCTGCTCTGCAGAATCTTAGTGGGGTACTTAGTGCAGCTACTTAGAGGGTATGGGTGGTTGTGGAGAAACGTAATTATCTTCCTGTCTTAGATACTGAACAGATGTTCCCACGCTCAGTGAGGATGTAACAAGAAGGACCAATGTGGGCTGCAGCAGAATGGATTTAAGTCAGACCACAGGAAGGACTTTTTGCCAGAGTTTGGCCTGCCCCACTCCAGACTGTCTCATGAGGGCTGGATTACTGGTCTCCCATTCCCATCCAACCCCCCTCTTTCCAAGCCCCAGTAAAAAAAACAAACACCCATTGCTTAGAGCAGTACTTGGGTTGAACTGGGGAAGCAGAACGGTGGTGAGACAGGGACGAGCTCCAATTCCAACGGTCTTGATTCTCCAAACAAAGCACCGCGGCAGTGGGTGTAACTCCAGGCTGTGCGTCAGGCGGCCTTTTCCGGCCTGGCCCAGCCCGGGGTGTTTATTTTGTTTGTTCCTGGAAGCTATTGCCCTGATGGACAATGCTGCTGGGGACGCTGATTCCATGGGATTTGTCAGTGGTGGGCCAGCCCTCTCCCTGTTCCCCAGGGACAGATGGGCCCCATCAGCCCTGCTCAGCTCCAGAAGAGGCAAGCATCAGCCCTCCTTGTGTTTGTTTGAGTTGGTGTCACCAGCGGTGACCTAGTTTGTGGGTGAGGGCCGGGTTCGCAAATGTGGGCGGGGGGGGAGAGGAGGGGGACATAGAGCCCAGGGCAGTCCAGCTTTTCCCCTCACCCCACTGGCTGCCTTCTGTTCTCCTCACCCACTTCTAGGCTCATTTTTGGGATCTTTCCCAAACCACAGGCTCGCTCATTCACAGACCAAACCAAATCTTTTCAGCCTGTAGCAGCAACTGCCCTCCTTGACCCCCACCTGTTCAGAGAAGGGGACAAAGGTATCCCTTTGATGTGTTAGGAGAACAGAGAATCCCCAGCAAGCCAAGGAAGGTGCTAGATGTTGGGAGAGACAGCAAGGGAGTGAGAAGTGGATGAATGGGTCAGATAGCATTTGGTGGCCTTGTGGGGAGAAAAGGTCATGATGCAGTCCTGTCTTCTCTGAAACATTCTTCCCAAGGCTTGCAGTGGAGTCCAGGGCTAAGAGTGTTTGAGTGAAGAGAAAATATTGCCTTGAGAAATTTGGGAGTGACTCTAGCAACCCAGCTAACTTTTAGTAGCCCACCCCAACTGACCTCCTTCCAGTTGCTTGAATTAGGTGGACTGGGGACTGGAATATGGGGAGGGTCATCTCTGTTGCTTTATCTTGGCTTTGGCTTCCCACTGCTAACAGCCCTCTGCCCAGGCAGGTTCACCCAGGACATCATCCCTTATAGGTTGGGGAGGATGATTTTCAAAGACTCATTAGTTAAGAAAGGCCATGGGACCTAGAAATAAGGGTACAGGGAGGAAATCTGTGGGGGGAGTGTTCCTCCCCAGACCTCACGATTGGGGGTGAGGAGTTTTAGTTACACGGATCTGACTAGAGCTGTAAGCATTCCTCCCAGTTGCCCACGATGTCTCTTCCCACTGGCCCCTCCCTGTCTCCATCCTTCTCCCCCAAACCATGTCTTCATGGACCAGCCATGTAGGACGTGCCTCTCACATGTGGGTGTAAGAGTGTTGTCTCAGACTCTTGTTTTGTTAGTTTATTTTTCTCTGAGGCTCTTAATGTTTATTAAATAAACAGGCAATGGGTTTGTGTGACATGCCCACGGCGTCTACGTATGTGACACATGCCTGGCCCGTGTTCTGCAAGTGTGTGTCACTTTGGCCTCTGGCTGGGGAGCGGATGATGGTGAGAGACCACTCAATGACTCTCTGCAACTGCGTAACCATTTCTCCAGAGCTTGTGGGGAAAGCTGCACCCGTTGGCCTCCGGGAATGTGGGTTGGAGGAGGGGAAGGAACCTCTTCAAGCTGTGAATGCCAAACCTCTCCCCTCCTGATCCCCCTCCCGAGGCAGGAAAAGGACCAGGCTGCTCTGACAGGGCCATCTCCACCTTGCAGGTACATCGGGGCCCTGGGGGCGCGAGTGATCTGTGACAATATCCCTGGCCTGGTGAGCCGGCAGCGGCAGCTGTGCCAGCGGTACCCAGACATCATGCGCTCAGTGGGCGAGGGCGCCCGAGAATGGATCCGGGAGTGTCAGCACCAGTTCCGCCACCACCGCTGGAACTGCACCACGCTGGACCGGGACCACACTGTCTTTGGCCGCGTCATGCTCCGAAGTAGGGGCCTCTTCCACCCTGCCCCACCTGCTTCCCCTTCTGTGCCCGGGGTGGGGGGTGGGGGATAGGCATGATCCTCCTCCCCTCTCCTCCACGCTGCCTCATCATCAGAGAGACGGTTGAGGGCAGAGCCCAGGAGATGGCTGGGAACCGACCCTCAGTTACTGAGAGATGTAGGCAGGGACCCCTCTAAATTCCAGTGTTCTGGGATGATGGCACAAAGGTACAGCGTTCCCTGGCACCTCCTCTCCCTTTTTCCCTTTCCCCCCCGTCCCCAAGCCCAGCCTGGGTGTAGGGCTGAGGACTGGGAATGGCTGCTCTGTTCTTACTGCCACCATCACTACCCTCACCCCAACCCTCACCCCAACCCTCCCAACACTCCAGTAATGGCGGCAAGGGATAAACAGAAAGGTGATATGTAAATATTTGGAGAGTTGGCGGCTTGGCCCCAGCTCAGCAAAAAAGCTAAGCCGAGCTAGACAATAAACTAGGAGAAAGGGAATGAGATGGGAATCTGGCGGTGTCTGGGGGACAGGGGTGATGAGTTATCAATCGCCAAGAGCAGGATGGGAAGGAAGCAGGCTGGGGAAAGTAGCAGGTCTCCCCAAACAGGCTGCCCCCTGGGCTGGGGTCTCTATTGTAAGGGAACTGTCCAGCAGAGTAGGCCTGAAAAGGCCTGGAATGTGGACCGAGGCAGGCTTAGCTGAGCCATCCCCTCTGTGGGAGAGGATGACTCACTGTGAAACTTTTCAATGGATGGACCCAGGGAGTTTGGAAGAAGGCAAGAGTACAGGTCAGCCCAAGAAGTCAGATGTACAAAGAAGTGGATAGAGAGTGGTGAGGGCCGAGGCGAAGAGGTCAGATACTCTGGGGAATGCTCTTGGAAGGGAAGAGTGCCTTGAATAAAGGGGGTATAGGAGTTGCTCTGGGAAAGACAAGAAGAGAGGAGGTTGCAGAGTTGGGGGTTGCGTGGGCTGAACAAGGGGACAGATGTGGGCCTCTCTGCTGAACCCTACTTCTCCCTTTCTCTCTGCAGGCAGCCGGGAGGCAGCATTTGTATATGCCATCTCGTCAGCGGGGGTGGTCCATGCTATCACCCGCGCCTGCAGCCAGGGTGAACTGAGTGTGTGCAGCTGTGACCCCTACACCCGTGGCCGACACCATGACCAACGCGGGGATTTTGACTGGGGTGGCTGCAGTGACAACATCCACTATGGTGTTCGCTTTGCCAAGGCCTTTGTGGATGCCAAGGAAAAGAGGCTTAAGGATGCCCGGGCCCTCATGAACTTACATAACAACCGCTGTGGTCGCACGGTCAGTACTCATGTCTATGCACGTACGTTCATGTCTGCTGGGGGTGACCGGGGTGTGTGATCATGGACTGAACGCAAAGGTGGAAGCACTAAAGGCTTCTGGATCACTTCCAAAGACCCCAACCCCCATGGCATTGGAGCAGTAAATGCAAGGGAGCTTGGGAATGCCTATTTTCAACCAGGTGCATATGTGTCTTCACATAGGTGGAAAGAAGGGAAAGGTAGAGAAAAGAGGGGAAGAAGTTCCAGGAAGGATTCATGGAAGAAGAGATTCTTGACTTTGGTCAGGAAGAATGGGTGGGATCTGATAGGGGGAGAGAACAGCCGATGGCCCTTCTGTCCAGCCTAGGCCAGGTCTGGCAGATGTCGGAGCACTCCTGCTTTTAGCCCCCGGGGAGGACTAAAAAGTGCCCTGACTGGCTGCCTCTCCCTCACCTGCTTCCCCACCACCCAGGCCGTGCGGCGGTTTCTGAAGCTCGAGTGTAAGTGCCATGGCGTGAGCGGCTCCTGTACTCTGCGCACCTGCTGGCGTGCACTCTCAGACTTCCGCCGCACAGGTGATTACCTGCGGCGGCGCTATGATGGCGCCGTGCAGGTGACAGCAACCCAGGATGGCGCCAACTTCACAGCAGCCCGCCAAGGCTATCGCCGTGCCACCCGGACTGACCTTGTCTACTTTGACAACTCCCCAGACTACTGTGTCTTGGACAAGGCTGCAGGTGAGTAAGGAAAGCAGGTAGGGACACGGAGCCCCCAGCTCTTGGTGCAGGCAGCCCTGGTTAATCACAGTGTGGTCGGCCTCAGGAGTTAGGGAAGCGGTACTGTAGGAGGAGTCGGTCTCCTCCCAACACGAACACCTGATAATGAGATTGGTGGTGAATGCCTCAGTCCACCAGTCCCAGGGCTGCCCAAGCAGGGGAGAGGTCATCTGTCACACCTTTCTATCCCCAGCATCTGGGGTACAGTAGCTACTATGCAGGGAATGTTTAAATGAGTCACCCATTTTCCATAGCAAGCAATGGGTGGGTTGAACAGAAGAAGCATGTGATGGAGTCCTAAGTCTCTGGCTCTTCACAGCCTAGCTAAAGAAATGAGATGTAACAGGGAGACAAATGCAACTGCAAAAGACAGATGACTGGAGAAATCCAGAAAAGCTTATTTGAAAATGTGGAACTTAAGCTCTTTCTTGAAGTGTAGGGATTACCTGGACAGCCTAGAGAGAAGAACAGGCAGAGAAGCAGAGTGCCAGGTGGGAAAGTACACGTTCGTTCTCGGAACCGAGAACTCAGATTAATCTGACTGAGTGAAGGTTTGGGATGGGGGGACTAGAAGTAGATAGATGGGTTTGGATCAGACCATGAGTGGCCTTGAATCCAGTATCCAGTGTGCTGCCATTGAAGATTCAAAAATGGAACTGGGAAAGCAAGGAAAGAGGAGATCCCAGCAGGGCTAACCACTAGCAGAAAGCAGCAAATTGTTTTTCAATCTGTTCCAGATATTTATGGTGGAATTCTTGGGGATCCTGGAGCTTGATATGCTATTGCCCCCACAGAGTAGAAGTCACCATCTTGGCTCATATTTCAGGTTCAGATAGGTTAGACTAGGAACAACCTGCTGTGCAAAAGAACAGCTCTTCCCCTGGTCTGTCATGCGCTCCCAGGCTCTTCTCTGTAGACTTGGCACTCAGGCCTTGGGTGAGATAGAGCCAGAGACCTCAGCTGTCTTCAGTTCTGTTTGTTTTCACCCATCACGGTCATTCCTGGAGAGTCGAGTGGCTCAGAGCAAAACTGGGCACAGAAAGAGGGTGGGGCTTCACCCAAGTAACACAGAAAGTAGTTTGTGTCCTTTGGATGGTGCTAGGAGAAAAAGGGTGGAAAGAGCCCTTCCAATTCTCCCAGTGATGTCCTGCCACTAGGTATGTTTTCTTTCTACATGATGCAATTCAGAGGTCTACTCTCTGAATGTCTTGAAATAACTCCATAACATCCAAGGTGTAAGCCTAGGCTGCCATACCTAAAATGCACCTTTGGGGTAGGATCTTTGGAGTTAGAAGGTAGATGGGTCCTGTATGCGTTGGTTTTCCTCGGAGGCATAAAATTAAGTCTCATAAAACCCAAAGTGGGGCCTGGAATTCAAAGGGTATAAGTCATCCTACAAGGGAGTAAGGAGCCAGAAATTCCCTCCAAAGCAGTCCTGTCCAGTTGGAACTTCCTGTGATGATAGAGATGTTCTACATCTGTGCTATCCAATACGGTAGCCACTTAACCACATGGGATTACTGAGTATCTGAAATGTAGCTAGTGTGACTGAGAAACTAAGTTTTAAATTGTATTTAATTTTAGTTAATTTAAATCTAGATGATCACATGTGGCTAGTGGCTATTACACTGGACAGCTCAGCTCCAGTCTATAGAAGAGGCTTTGGGTGCACAAGAGAAGGACTTAAGCCCCAGTCCTTGGAGTTAGGAGAAGGAGAGAGTAGGACTAGTTAGGTCACAGGCTGGAGGAGTGGCCTCCTAACATTTTGGGTTGTATATTCCTATCGTTAAAAAATTCTTGGGAGTATGTACCTCCAAAATGTGGATATTTACTTATAACAGATAGATATATTCCACTGTATTAATATGTACATTATAAAACACACAAAGTAGAGATTTTAAGTTTATGAGATAAAAAACAAATATAGAAGTCCTAAGTTCTAGCATTTTCTTTGCATATGGCAGTAGAATGTGCAGCCTGCTATGAGAGTATCAGTCAGTCTGTTCCCCTCCTTCAGCCCCCAGGTCAGTTAATGTCCCATCCGTGGGGAAAGACTAGGGTAGGTACTTTCTAGGGTCCATCCCATCCAAAATTCTATGATTTTATGATCCGTTGTCAGGATCTCTTTTGCTAAAATTGGTCAGAATGAAGTCCTGAGCATTCTCTGTGCAGGGGGATAACATCATCCTTACCCTTCAAGAGTTCCTACTGTAAGGGGCAAGGGATATTCTGTAGGAATTCCATAGGGATATGCTTCTGGGCAGTCATGCTAATCAGTTTGCCTCCTCAGTTGAACAGAGATTATAGACATAGTGTAACAATCCACTGAGTTAGATGCTATTATTATGCCTATTTTCATAGGAGAAGACTGAAGTCCAGAGAGATTAACTACCTTGCGAAATCACATAGCTAGGATGTGGCGGAGCTGGAATTTAAACTTGGACAATCTGACAATAAGGCCTGTGCTTTTAATGGCCATACTATACTACTTCCCTGTATGGTACAACTTAATAAAATATCAACTAAGGACCAAAATCCTAACAAATGGTAGCTGGATCAGAGTTGTGGCAAGACTTCTTGGAAAAGATAAATTATAGGCTAAGTTGTTTTTTTGTTTTTTTAACTTTTTACTATGGATAACTTCAAACACGGAGAGCCCTTACCCAGCTTTAACAGTTGGGAGCATTTTAAGGCCAGGTCTTGAAAGAGATATGGAGCTGTGTATTGGCGGGGTTGGGGGGGGGGGGGTTGTTGCAGGTGAAGTCAATGGTCTTTGGGGAGCCTTGATGGTGGGAAGCCAGCCAGCCTGGTGCAGAGGGAAGCAAGGAGACGGTCATTTTGGCTAGTTGGGCATATTTTCAGGAAAAGGGATTCTTTATGGTTTCCTCGTGAGGATGTGGGTAAGGGAACCCAGAGCAGCTGAAGGAAGAGGTAGCTTGGTTCTCACTCTCTCTCTTCCCCAACCCAGGTTCCCTTGGCACTGCGGGCCGTGTCTGCAGCAAGACATCTAAAGGGACGGATGGTTGCGAAATCATGTGCTGTGGCCGAGGGTATGACACAACTCGAGTCACCCGTGTCACCCAGTGTGAGTGCAAATTCCACTGGTGCTGTGCTGTGCGATGCAAGGAGTGCAGAAACACTGTGGACGTCCACACTTGCAAGGCCCCCAAGAAGGCAGAGTGGCTGGACCAGACCTGAACATAGAAATACCTCACTCATCCCTCTACTTCAAACCTCCTGACTCAAAAGCACAAGATCTTTGCATGCACACCTTCCTCTACCCTCAACTCTGGGCTGCTACAGTTTCTATTTAAGGACTTGGAGAGTAATCCAGAAGGACTCTCGTGTCCTGACTGGTTCCTTAGCCCTGGGAAGGAGTTGACAGGGGATCTAAGAAATTGAATGGCTCCCTGACTGCCACCTTGGGAGGTTAGAAGGGAGAGTGGAAGAGGGAGGGGTCTTCAGAGTGATAGAAGTTGCACTAAAGCACATGGTCAAGGCTCATCTTTCCTTTCCTTTGCACCGGCTTCCTGACACTTCTTGTGTGTGCAAGAGGAAGGGTACCTGGGGAGAGCTTCTTTGTGTTCCTACCTGACTGAGGGGAGATGGGACAGAGATGAAACCACATCTCTTCCCTGGGTCAGTTTGAGCAGACTGCCTGGTACCCCAAAAGAAACTCTTAGGCTACATCCTTCTTCCATTATCAAGAGTCTGGGATTGCTAGATAAGAGTTAGCCATAGTGGACAAGGTTCCATTCACATGCTCATAGGTTTATAAACTGCTGTATTTTGTAGGGGAAAAAAATTATATGACTACACAAACATACATTCTCGTCCAATCTCCCGCCTCTTTTCAACCTATATCAGACAGCATGTTGGTCACTCGCCTCTTATTCACCTGCTGCCTATTCAAACCGAGTGGCATGTAGTGATTCTTATGCCTAACAGATCATTTAGTAAGCCTGCCTAGGCCTTGGGATTTGATTTTTTTTTTTTTTTTAAGTTCCTATGCATTATTCTAGAGGTCAGCCAGGTTTGGGAAATACTCAGTAAAAGGTATGGGACTCATGGGGGGTGGGAGAGGGTAGCAGGTCTGATCTCAAGGGCCCCACATGAGGCATCAGTGTATACTAGGCAGGTATACTAGGCAGGGATCTCTGGCTTGGGCAATTTTTAGGAGAGGATCCTGGTCTTCAAAGCTGGGAATGGAAGCCAGTGGCTACAGAGGGAAGGAGAGCTGGGGCTTGGGGCCAAAATGGTAAACAGCTCAGAAAGCAGCCTTACCCCATTTATTCAACAAATTTTTTTTTTTAGTGACTCTCCAAGTCCTGGTGATTATTACTGTTCACTCCATCTTTGGCTTAAATAGGGGAGATCCTTCTATGCTACTTCCCGCTGCCTAATTAAGCTTGCAGTAGAGGAGTCTCCAGGGATGGTAGACTGAGTAAGCTAGAGGCTAGGACATGGAGTCCCCAAAACCGTCCTGTCCTGTTTTTATGTGACTCAGACAATGGCTATCTCTTGCCTGGTGATACTGTAAAAGACCAAAGTGGCATAGAAATTCGCAGTCATGACAGACCTGGGTTGAAATCACAGCTGTGCCATTTACTGTTTTTGATATTTTGAGCAAGATACCCACCCACATTCTCTGAGCCTTTATCGTCTCCTCTGTAAAGCGAGGTTACAAACCTATCTCAGATATTGAGTTTTAATTATGACCCCCATTCCAGTCATCGGACACTCTTACCAAAGTCCCTAACTGGCCTAGCCCATCATGATGTCTCTTAGAACCTTCCATTTAGAACTGTACAGTATTGACAGCAGGCTGTAGATTAAGGGGCCTACACAAGGAATTCTGAGTATAGGCACCCCCCCTCCTTTCCAAGTTCCTCTCCAACAACCCTTGGGGTCCTCACGTGTTTGTGGCGCAGCTTCACTCTGCACAGGCAGCAGAAGGATGGGGGAGCCAGAGCTCTGGGCCATGGGGGCAGATTTATTTGGATGATAGGACTAATATTTGTGTAACCTGCTGAGACCTGTGTGGGAGAGTTTAGGGTGGTTTTTCTTTTGGTGAGGGGTTTGCTCCGGTTTCACATCCATTAACACAAAACATGAGCTAGTCAGGGCCCTTGTGGTCTGCGGTGAGGGGATTCCTGTGGAGAAATGGGACTGAGTGAGTCAGGCCAGGGGAATGTCTTCCTTGCAGAGTGGATAACTGATGAGCCAATGGTGGGATTAGGGAGGGGGAAATGGGAGGGGAAGAGAAGAACTTCTGACATCTTGAGCTGGGATTAGGAGGAAGAAAGCCTTGGAGTAGTGGAAAGGTAAGGGGGTCATAGTCAGTCTGACTCAAGACTAGAACTGCAGGAATTGACATAAGGGTACTGTCTTTGAGTAGAGCCTCGGGTCCCAGTCCGCCCCTACTCACAAGAACGCCCAGGTTCCCGCATAAAGGATAGCTAGGCCTTCCTGGGACTTCAACCCAAGTTCACTCTGCCTGTGCTCTGTCACCTATTCCTTTTCAGTTCTTACCCCGTGGAAGGAACTGAGCCTCTTCTGGCATCTCATACTGCTCTGTGCTTCTCCTGGGCTCCAAACTGTAGTTCGTTGCTGTAAGTGGTTAAGAACAAGCTGGCCAGAGAGTGACATGTATGAACAGTGGGGTGGACAGTGAGAGAAAAGAGGTCCACATGAGCCCCACTATTGAGGCTATGTGGTCCCAAGAAGGAATGATGGCCAAACAATTACTTTTTCCTCTTATTTCTTAGCTTGCCTCTGCATTCCAATTGGCTTTGGACAACAGGCATCCATTCCGCAATAAACAAACAAATTTATGTGGAACAAGCAGCAAAAGGAGAACTGCATTTGGTGCAGTCAGGGCTCCATTTAGTTCTGCTGCCACCCACTCACTGCCTCTAACCACCCCCTCCCACCCATCCTCTGATCAGTAGAGGTCTGTCCCTCTGGCAGCAGTCCCTTCGCCCCTCTCCTCTCTGACACTCCTTCGTGTCGGTCCTCATCTCTTCTAACTTTCAATATTTAGTAGAATGCCTTGCAGAAAGTGCCATTTGGATACAAAGTTAGCTTCAAAGACATGATCTCTATCCTTTAAAGGTCTTAGCCTCTTTTAGAGAAGGCACGTGGCTGAAATACCTTGGCTGCAGAGCCTGTGGCCAGTTTCCCTCATGTACAAGTAAGAATGCCAGCCTGAACCTAGTCCTGCACGTAAGAGCCAACTTCTGTGATTGCTAGCCTTGAATAATAGCGCTAACCCATACGCTTTCTTAGAATGATGCTGGAAAAATGAAATCAGGGACTTCGGATTATTTAAAAAAATTAAACACTGCCTGGCCCTGAACGTCTGTTTGCAAAAAGTCTTGTAGGTCTGACTCGTGACCACTTACAACCTCGTTTCTCTTCCTCCCTATTGCAGAGAGTAATTTCTTCTTTTTCTCACCTCCTTTAGCAAGAACACCAACCACTAAGTCTTTTGCCAAATTCTCGGACCCACTCAGGACGTTGGTTTCTACATGGCTTAATATAAGAGAGATAATTAGGATTTTTCTTTTTTCCTCACCCTTTCTGAGATTTTTAAACGCCCTCGGTGGTCATAGGGCAGAAGCCCAAGGGAGGCCGCCAGGGAGAGTATGTTTCTCATCCCTGGGAGGCCGTCAGCCTAGCTCCTGCAGCCAAATTACAGCACCAGAGAATAATGTGATGCATTCCTGGGCAGGTCCGTGGGACCCTGGGCGCCTGGGCCTTGTGGAGAGAGGTGCCAGACACAGAGCTCTCCGTAAGCAATCCTGCAGAGCTGCCCCCTGGGTGCAGAAATGAAATACGGGAGAGCTTCACATTACACGGAGACCTGTAGCTCACACCTGGTTATTGATGGCCTTGGTGGAGGCCTCTGCCCCCACCCTCCACTTGGGAACTGACTGCTACTACGGGGGTTGGGCACCTTTGAAGCAATGTTGGAAAACAAGAAAGAGATGCTTCCTTTCCACTCTTTGCTCCTCCTGTGAGCCTGCGCACAATGGGGAGGAAATGCACACACGAGCTGTGCTTCTGTAGACATACACATAGCTTCTCCCAAGCTTCAGCAGAGTTCTAGTCCGCCTCCCTCTCCCCGACAATAAAACAAGCAACTGGATTTCAATCAAATCCTTCAAAAGTCATACCAACTTCAGGGATTCAGCCATCACCAAGGAATGTTAAAAAGTTCCATTATCAATACGCGAGCAGCTGTGCGGTTTGGGGACTGGTATTCCCCTGGGAAGTGGCAGGGAAAGGATGCAGAAAAGGCATGGAGAGGAGAGATCAACAGGAGACAATTGCCACCCAAGCAGAATGGCTAAGACTGTGGGACTTCCCATGGCTCGTTCACGCTGGGGATAGTCCAATCTGTGCCCTGTGTGCTAAGGATGATGGGGCAGCCTCCTAGGACTGCACGAAGTAGAATTACCAAGCCTGCAGCCCAAGACCTGTTGTTTTTAACTTTTATTCGGTTAGAAAACAGGATAGCTTTGGGTTTCAGAGATAATGTCCATAAGAGAGAGGTCCTGGAGAGGAGCAAGCAGTGACTTTTCTAGGGTAAATATGTCATAGCTGCTGCACTGAACTGAGCTTTCCTAGAAGCTGTTAATCTCTTTGGGTGACTGGCAGGTTTCAGGCAATAACCAGTGGAGTGTCAATAATATGCCTGTCCCTGACCCCGAAGGTCAAAGGGATAGAAGAGGGGGAGAGTTTTTAAGTACATTTTTCCACTTTCCATTCATGGCTTAAGTTATCCCTGAGCATCTTTGGGGCTCTTCCTCATTTATTGAAGACATTTTAGTCATCCTGGAGTTGAGAAAGCAAGGGAAGCATTCTGCCCCTGATCCCTTAACTTTGAACTACTGTGTGCTCACTTCCGTTCTTGCCTATGAAGCTATAGGTGGAGCAGCTAGACGTAGATGTTCTCTTTCTTTGACCAAAAGGAGCTGAAATCTGGTGACTTTACTTCACCACCACCAGCCCCTGTACGCAGGCCTGACCAAACAGAAAGGCTAAACTGAGTGAAGAAAAAGGGAAGACCAGGTAATCCACAGCTGTCCTAATGACAACTGTCTGGGTGGGGTTCCCAGAGAATAACTGTGATGTTCATGAGAAGCATTTTCAAGGACAAAATGCTTTAACATATACCTAATTTTCACACCGACCCTGTGAGGAGGAAGACATTCTCACTGCACAGGTGCTGTTCAGAAAGGCTCAGGCATCTGTCTGAGGTCATGTGATACGGAGTGGCGCAGACAGAACTCAAGTCCGGGGTTTCTCACTTCACACCCTGTGTGTTCTCCTCAAAGACTGAGACTACCTCAGGCTGGAAGGGCCAGAGTCCCAGCCCCTTCAGAAGAGAAATGGATACAAAATATTCAAGGAGAGTATAGGTGAGCAGAATTTACAACAGGAACAGCCTATACCTTCCTTCACCACATCAACGAATCCCCTGTCATTTTGGCCACTGTTTCCACTGCCACAAAATGATCACTACACTAAGTAGTCTGCATTTAATATACTCTGGCTCCTAGCACTTTCTATTCCTTTTTTTCTTCTTCAGATTAACACTTTAACCATTTGTTTTAATTTTATCTGGTTCTTTTAAAGTGATGCTAAGCGCAAAGAGTACAAGTAGTCCTGAGAAGCCGTGAGCAGAAACTGTTAAGGCTTTGGGCTTCTAAAGTATGTACTAGAATCTCCTTTGAGGTTTCACTCTTTCTTTTTTTAAACGCTGTCAACTCCTGGGCTAGGAAAGTGAGAAGAGGGAATGAGAGTGCTAAAAACCTGTCCTATCCGAGGCCAAATGCCTACTCAAGGCCTGGTAAAAGTCCTGGGACCTCTAGCTGAGACAAGTAATTTATCTACACCAAGGCAAGGAGAATCCACCCTGCAGAGAAACCCCTATGAGATGAGGCAGACAACAGATTTTTACTTGATCAAAAACTTTTGCTGCTCTCCACCCCCCTCCTCCCACTCTCATTCAAAATCTGGACTTCTGTTTAGGTCCAAGACAGTGAGACAAAGCAGCTCCAAGAGAGGATGTGTGCAAGGGGAACCCTTCCCTGTTCAACCCTGGAATGCATTCCTTCAGAAACAGCATAAGCCTGCACATACCCTACCTATCCCACTCCTGCACCCCAACTGTGAAGGCAGAAGGGAAAACTGCAGGAACACAATGTTCATCCATCATAGACCTAGGCCCCCACTTGAGCTAGGGGAAGGACACCTCATGAAAACAGTCTACCTATAGTAGGATCTGTCCCAGAGCAAACCTTACTTTTTGGTCCATCGATCTTGGCTCTCACGGCTCTCCCTGCTCCCCACCCCCACTGCCTCCGCATGTGGGCTCAGAAGTCATCATCTAAAGAATTCCACTGCTCACCTCCTGCATAGCAGCACAGCCCCATGAGGCCGCACACCAGATGGAGGGGATAAAAGTACGAGGTCATGGCTTCTAGCAAGAGGCTTTTTCTGAAACTAACCCTGACTCCTGGAAAAGAGGCAGAGCAGGAGAGTGTCGGGTGAGCTGCTGACGACAGCAGCTTCATGGGTCTTGTGTGAAAAGGAAGGACAAAGCCTTCATTAAAAATTTCCCTGCTCCCGTCTCCAGACCTATTTCTGATCCCACATCTACTCCTTGAAGGCGTCTGAGTAGAATGCGGAGACTGCCAAGCTGAAGGGTTAAATCCTTCCCATTTGTCGGGGCCTATTCAGCAGGCTGCCACACTCATGCTGAGGTGGAGGCCAAGCCCTGAACACGTGGCCTGTTCCTCCAGGCAGTCAGCTATGATGTAAAGGGAAAAGGTGTGGAAGGCGGACTAGAACTCTGGGGAAATTGAGAAGGCCGTGGCCTTCAAAATGTTTGTATGTAATAGACAAAGACAAGGCATAAAGGAAAATCATCATTCCTCGGATCATTATGCCTATTGGGTGACAAGCTACACAGCAACAATCACAAAGGAAAAACAGTTCGAGGAATGAACTGAGAAACAGAAGTCTCCGAATAGAGCAATCTGGCGGAGGTGATGCGGCAGCCTTTCTACAGGGGTGACTTCTGAGTTGGAGTTTTAAAAGATAAGGGATGGACTGGTGGAGGGGAGTCAGAGAAGCGGTTCTACAGCGAAGGAACTGGTATGCGCTGAAACGTAGAAGAATGTGCAAGCAATATATAAGGAATTTCAAGCCGGTACATATTATATACACTGGGGACGACCGAGAAATGAGAATGCCGAGATAAGAGCTGAACTAATGTGAGCTAGCTGCATGCGCCTCGACTGTCACATGGTGTAGAGCCTCTGCAGGGCCGCGCAGCATCTTGATCTATGTCCATCAACGCCGGGGCACCGATGGGAAAGCAAGGGGATGAGTCCGTTTGTTACATGTATAGGGACGAAAAGAGAGCTACACTGTACATAACAAATGCTAAGTGTTAATGACAACTCACTAGCATTTGAGGTTCTAGACTAAATAAGAGATGTGAAATATTCTGTCCACAATTGTGATGCACTAATGGAGGCTTTACAGGCCCAGACGCTGACATAAATTCAGCCAAACTCTTAAGAAATTACAATGTAAAAAAGGAATAATTTAAAATTAAAAATATGTGGTTCTTGGGGCGCCTGGGTGGCTCAGTTGGTTAAGCAACTGCCTTCGGCTCAGGTCATGATCCTGGAGTCCCAGGATCGAGTCCCACATCGGGCTCCCTGCTTGGCAGGGAGTCTGCTTCTCCCTCTGACCCTCCCCCCTCTCCTGCTCTCTCTCTCATTCTCTCTCTCAAATAAATAAATAAAATCTTAAAAAAAAAAAAAAAAAAGAAAAGCTGATAATCTACTTTAAAAAAAAAAAAATATGTGGTTCTTTCCCTCACTCCCCACCTTAGAATTTGACAGGCCTCGATGTCCCGTTTGACATACGGGACTTCTGTGGCGAGCAGATTCATCATATGTGAGGCCACAGTGAATGGGAAGAGAGTGATGAAAGAGCTTTAGGGACCGCCAAACCAGTTCACTGATAAGGGAGAAGACAGGTCTTGTGCACTACAAGCTGCTAGATAAGAGTGGCTGCCAAAAACAAGAGACAAATTCCGATTTCCTAACTTCCAGTTAGGTCACTGGCTTCTTGCATCGTGAAGGTAAAAACAGAGCTATTTACCAGGCTCCTGTCCTACTTCCTTACTGAGCTTTCTTAATTTTTGAGGACAAAAATCACAAGGACAACCCATTCTTCCACAGCACTCTCTTGTGCTTTTTTCAGAAACAGAGTAAGTTGACCCTTGCACAACACAGGTTTGAAGTGCACAGGTCCACTTCTATGCAGATTTGTTTTATAAACACAGTGCAGTACTGGAAATGTATTTGTTTCTCTTCCTGATGACCTTCCTAATAACATTTTCTTAATTATAAGAATACAGTATGTAACAATACAACATACAATATGTGTGTTAACTGTTTATGTTGATGAGGGTTCCGGTCAACATTAAGTTTATGGGGAGTCAAAAGTCATAAGTGGATTTTTGACTGTACAGGAGGTCAGTGCCCGTAACCCCTATGTCATTCAAGGGTCAACTATATTAGAATACACACACACACACACACACACACACCCCACTGAATAAGCTAAAAGGTGAGCAGTATCCTAAGTGTTCACTTTACTTAGCTGGCACAATTTGGTGCTGGGAGGCAGCCACTTACACAGTGACAGCATTTGTTGGTATCATCTTAGTTTTTTCCTCCTTCCTTAGGCAGTTTATAAAAGGTGATTTCTGAAACCTTTTGCAATAGAAAAGCTCAAGGGTTTACATTCAACTGTGACACCACTATGAATTCATTAAGAGGCATGTTTCAGGTTGCACTATAATTTCCCTATGTAACATAAACCCACGGAATCTGACATAAGCTGATTGCTCATGCTGGTTATTTTATTTACATTTCTGAATGGAAGGGATCTCAATACTCATAAAATATCTAACTGACTTATTATTTTTCATCTGTTCTCCCAGGGCAGCTAGTATAAAATGGACATCGAGACAGAAGTCTCAACTTGTATGACTGGTTAAGCGACCAAAGAAAAGTTACTGCTCAAAAGCAATTAAAAAAATAATTTAATATGGAGCTTGAGGCCAAGAGAGATGATTACTCTCAATGCCACCTGAAAGGTAAAAGTTAAAAAAAAAAGTTAAGTAACTGTGTTCATTATCTTTGTCCAAGTCCTATGGGAGTAGGTGGTAGCCAGGAGCTCAGGGGGTCTGGAATTGACTTTTGACTTAACTCTTTCTCTAGAGACCTAATATTGGCAGACATGGTCTAGTCTAAACAGGAACACAGGTGAATGGATGAGAGCGGGCTCCTTACAACCCAGAAATATGAATGTGCCTCCTTACCAGCATGTTACAAATCAAACTTCTGAGCTGGAAGATGCTATCATGCATCTAACTCATTATCTGGAGATACATATTCTGTTAACCTACCCAAAGAATGATAATTTCTATTTATACCAGCAGATATTGCAAGCTTGGATGGATTGCTAGAGAACTAACAATCACCAGTAAATTCCAAAGCCTCATCTGCAGTCTTCTGCTTCCAAGTCATTGTTCAAACTGCCCCACTTCCTTTCTTCTCCTGCCACACCGAGTTAAATCAGTATACTCTTTGACCCCCTAGTACGGTCTTGGACCATAAACTTCCATCATTTTACCATATTTATTGATGACATGCCCAATTAGTATAAGCTCCCCAAGGACAGGTCCTGTGCCTATTTTGAAATATGTATTCCAAGGTCATATCCCCAATGATCCAGTTAGCACATAAACTTGATTGAGCCAATAAAGATTGGAAATATTTTGTAGTTCCTTAGAAACTCTTGGTGGTCCCCCCTATAAAAAGGTAGAATTGTCCAGGATGCAGAATTGATCAGCAAAATTCAGCTTGGGAGAGAAGGAAAAGGAACCTTATTTCAGTGCCTACCCCAATGTCTTTTTATTATTTTTTAAAAATTAACACTTGTGCCGGTTTTCAGAGTCAGTGACTGTAGGATGCAGCTTTGACATTAACAGTAGGCTCTGGGAAATTCTGAGTGGCTCCTTCGCGTCTCTCTCACATGACCACAGACCCAAGTAATTTTAGTCCTAACTCTTGCTACCCCATTCTGCTTGACAATGACATGGTGCTGTTTCATTTTCCAAACCAGAATGGCCCTTACCTTTTATCAATCTGTCATTATTAGAAATGAGAGGACACAAACAAGGACAATGAAAATGTAGGAGCATGAGAGGCTTTTGTCTTATGGCAGCTACTACGTGAATCTGAGGCAAGATATTTCTTATTTAAATTCTGAATTGTGGAATGCTTCACTTTTCGATGAAGTTTAAACTATTCAGATAAACATAAGGAATACCACTGTTTATAAAAACATGTACTTGCTCAGTTAAGTGTTAAGATGAAAGTCCTACATGCCTCATGTTTGAAAGAGAATAGAGGCTCCTCTTTCTACCTTCCTTGTGTGACTGAAAGAGCTCCTAACTGAACAGTCTTCTAAAAGGGAAAGTCCTGAGTCTAAAATGACTTTTTAGGTCACTACATCTTATGTGAGGCACGTGAAAATAACTCCTCAGTCACTTCCAGTCAAATGAATAAACATGCAAGGGTGAGCTAATCTACTGCTGTGGCAGCAGCTTCTGTCTTATACTAACACATCCCTTGCCTGTCTCAAACCCCCTGCTGCTAGACTACGAGTTACCTGTGGACACACACTGTATCTCATACTCCATAGAGGGGCCCAACACATACCTGCTCACTGAAGGAAGGAAGGAACAGATCCATCGGTAGTAACATCTTAATATAATGAATACGAATGGTGAAAACGTGGAGTACATTACAGAATAATCATTACCATACTGTGGCATGCTATAGAACAAGAGTTCACATAGTTTTAAATGCGGAGGCTCTTTAAAAACTACACTTTGAAAACAAACTAAGATAAGCCCTATTGGAGTCCTTCCAGTCAATCAGCTAATACCGAAAGAAGAAATCTTTTCAGGGTCTCCAGGCCTCTGAACTGCATGTTCTTTAGCACAGCTGTTGTTGCTGTTGTTGTTTACGGCGGTCTGAACAATAGTTAAAATACACCAAGAGCAAATTAATAAGAAAAGTCTACGCAGCTAGGGCTTAGTTGAATTAGAATCCCCAGGCTCTCAATAAGGGCTAAATCCAAAGGGATCAGAGTCAAGTAAATAAAAAATCCAGCTGAATTTTATCAGAGGGCAAAGTTTCAACTCTGAGTACCCCAGCAACCAAGGATGAATTATGCATAAGATTAGTAAAGTGCCTTCATCCACACCCCAGCCAGAGAACATTCTTCTATCTCACTGTGACTGCAGGAAACACAGCAATGTATTTGCCCGCCAAGAATAGTTGCAGCTATATTCTAGATAGGAGTCTAACAAACACTAAGGGATTAAAGTTTAATCGTAAAGCTGCTGCTACCTGGGAGTCAAAGCTTGAACTCTGGCTTCACAAAGAAAGTGGGACTCCGGCTTCTTGAATAGACGAAAATAAGAGCGGGCACGTTCCTAACAAAGGCTGTGAGAATATGCTCCCTTCTGAATTCTTCCCCAAACTGCTTCTCTCTCTCTCTCTCTCTCTATATATATATCCTCCTCGTAATTTACAAGTGCTCAATAAGAATAGAGCCCTTTCCAACACTTTGAAGAATACATACATGTTTCATTTTCAGAATGCTTGAAATTATAGGATGAGATGAGAGGGTGATTATGTGGTCTGAATTCTCTGAATATCAGTTCTCTTAATTTTGTTGAGCAGCATCTGAAGCCCAAGTAATTTCTTTTCTTGAAGCTGGCTGTTAGAGATGGACGTAAGACAATCTTAATGTCATTACAAAAATAAGACAGATAATTTTATTTTTCCTCAGATTCAGAAAGAATACTATCAATAGCCAATCTTGTAACAAGGCCTCATCAGCATTAAGAAACACACCTACGTTTCCTACCTACTGATACAACTACTAGAAGTACATCTGCTACCTAAAATTCCCATGTGAGCCAGAAGATACGCACATGTTATATTTTAGACCAAAGTTTATTCTGTTCAGTTAAACTTCCCCAGATAATCCTTCACAAATTTACCCTCTGATTTTGAAAGAAGAATGATATTGAAACATGGGGTATACATTTGTACTTTATATTAAAAGTTTCTTTTCTTTTCTTTTTTTTACCATTTCAGAGAGTCAATCAAATTCCCTCTGAATCATTACAAAGCAGTGCCTGCTGCTTCTTTCATATTACTGTACATTTCAGAGAGTTAGATAGGCTAAAGTTTTTTATACCATTGTATGAGTATGGATGGAAGGGACCAAACAGTGTTCTTCGTTCTTAAGTGGCTTACTAGAAAGAAAAGGAATGAAATTAAAGTGAACCAACTTGAAAGACAAAAAAAGTAAATGGGCATTCTTTATTTTAAAGCATCAGAGTTCATCAAATAGGCTTATGTTGTGAAGAGTGAAGAGTTCTCCAGACAGTGTGTCTACTGATGTTTTGGTTTTTGCAGTAAGCATTTCTGCAACCTAACCATCCTTCCTATTTTCTGAAAATCCATATTAGCCTTCTCATTTAAAACTCTTCTCCAAATTCATCTCCTGTAGGAAGACTTCTCTAGCAAAACCACTTTACTATCACCACGCCATCATTCTATATCCCTTCAGCCTCACTAGATTTTGTTTGAAATATATTCTTTTGTACTTGTTTTGGCCTAAGTTGTGAACTGACACTTTACTGAAACCAAGCATATATATCATCACTAAAGGGCTACCTGTTGTGTGATTTCAAGCAAATCACTTTACTTGAATGACTCAAACTTGCCCATCTAAAACACTGGAAAACCACAATCTGTCCTCCAATGGCTCGGGTAAGAATAAATGAGAGCCTAAATATACACTCTTAAGAACAAAGATAATAACTAACTGAAATCTAAATTACTCCTGGTTTAGAATCGTAATATATTAAATAGTCATACAAATTTAGTTCTCTTGAGCATTAGAAATTTGATTGGTGGGAGAAAGAGCAAAGTTCAACTCAAGAAAGAAGCCAATAAAAACTATTCCTCAAGATTATAATTTTATTCTGTATCCCATTATTCTCTCCATTTAGAGGACTTTGTGGGGTCTGCAAAAAACAAAGGTTTTCTAAAAGAAAAATCAGTAGGTTTCCTAATGTGAATTCTAGTATCACTCATGTAATGGGGTTAGAGTAAGCAATTGACATCAATATCTAAGCACCACTCTTCTGAAAACTGCTATGCAGTCCATTTGCCCCAAGTGCTAATAATTAAGCAATCAATATATCAGTAGCAGTTAGTGACAGGATGTCCTAAACTTTGGCACTGAGACATCTGCTTTGAGGGGGAAAGGATGATTAAATATACTGCCAAATAAATTCAGGGAAGGAAAGCTTTTGTGAACTTCATACTTGACAGGCACATGTTAATAGGGAAAGAGGGTGTTTTCCACAAACTTCAAAACTGAAGGAAACCCTGGGGAAGGGGTATAAACATGTGTTAAAAAGTACACTGTCTTAATTTTTATTCTTTTTTTCCCCCCGCTTTCAAAATAAGAGTTTAGTACTCAGAAAATATGGATAAAGAAGAAGAACAGCAATATCACAATCTTCTCAGTCTGGTTCTTTTTAAAGGGAAACAATGAGAATGAAGCATGAGAAATACCCTTAATGGAAGTAGAGAACATCTTTTCTTTTGCTAGAAATATCCCAATTGATTAAGAAAATAAAAGTTGGAATATGCTAGACTGCCCAAATAAAGATTGAATTCAGTGGCACTAACAAGGGAACAAAAATGTAAACATTTAAAATTTTTTGACCTGTCACACAATGGGCTCCTTTTATTATCAGTATAATCTCTGGGAAATACCTCAGATATATTGCTGTGGAAAGAGCATGGCTACAGAACAATATTTTATGGGAATATAAGCTTGGTTACAATTCAAAATGTTTTAAAAACTATGTCAGTTCTTAGGAACTAAAGAAGTCTCACAGCTTTGAAATGTAATCCATTTTCAAACAAAGTGAAGAAACTTGTTTTACTTGTTGGTTGAATTTCTGAATGTGGCCTTATGTATTTAATAAAGAGCGATACAATTATCATAGGTTTTCAGCATGAATGAAATCAGATGGAGAATATAAAAAATCACTTTCACCTATGAACAAATTTCATGTCACTGGTTATGACAATGGAAAATTGGGAACCTTTAGAAATAATATATTTTTTCTACTGGTATACATCAACATAAAGTTATAATTATCTATCAACTCCCCTAGGTATGAAGACGATCTTTGCCCTGAAAAAAATGATGAGAATAGTGTACAAACCTCAAAAGTTTTGATCACTATTCAGTAAAACACACTTGGCATTTATTTCTGCTTATTATTTTTTAAAATGTAATTTGGGGAGAAAAATGTTAATTATTTTTGGGAAGGGGCTGAAGAAATCCCAGTGGGACATTCTGTAGAAAGGTCTTTTGTTAGCATAACATCTGACTTTCTATATCTTTGGAAATCATACAACTTGGCTAATGTAGTCCTTAAAGAATTAATCAAGCAGATTGTTAGGCCCTAGTTACAGTGGAGCCAGCCAATTATGAGTTGCTCAGAAATTCATCACTGGCATGTCCAACCACATTTTCCCACATAAAGATTAGTAAAAATATGTGGAAACAGGGCCCATTCCCACCTCAGCACAGCTACAGTGTGTGTTCAGTGAAACAGATTTCAACAAAGTTTTGTTTTTAGTGAAACAAACTATTTATTTGGGAATCTTTCTGATTCCTGTCTTTACCCATTAACACCTTTTTCTGCCAGGTTACAAAGGCTATCTAGCCTGTTTCATTAAAACCCAACTAGAGATTTTTATATGCAAACACACTTCTGAATTCAAAGTACTAAAGTCACATGCCACAAGCCTGAATTTATCAGTAAGTCAGTGAAACCCCCAAAGACCATCTATAGTGTTCACTGCTGTGATAACGCACTCCCAAGGCTTACTAAGAAGAAAGCTTTTCTTGCAGGAGAGAAATGAAAGGGGCCAGGCTAGATGAAGATTGGTTCTCTAAGGAGAGGGCACTGCTGCTCTTAAATAAAGAAGCTCCTTTCAGATAAGCAGAATCGGATTCCAGTTCATTTGGTTTGCTGGCTACCCTTACTTTGAACTCTCATATTTAACCCAGCAGGCTTCAAAGCAGGTGAGAAAATGACCTACCACTTAAAAGCAATTTTTCCTTTTTCAGGAATTCTGGCCTTGGAGAATATCAGCTCTGATATCAGCACATTCCACATCTCCAGGGATTTATGCAATTTTTTTTTTTTTTATTGCTCTATGTTGAATGTCAGACGTGGTTTTCATCTCAGCCAGGAGAAAAATCAAGAAAGAAAGTCCTAGCTTGCTGAAACTAAAGTCTTATTCCACACAGCTTCATACCATGCAAAAGATGGGGCACTAAAATCACTAACCATTCTAGTTCATACCCTTCCATTTATCTCAATCTGAGGAACAGTGAAGATTATGAAAAAGCATTAATCCCTAGTGCCTTGCTTCACAAAAAAGCAATTTTTGTAACAAACGTGTTTTAACAAATTCAAATTAAATTTACTCTAGCATATGAGCTAATATAAAAATACACTGGATGAGGAAGAGACCGTGATAACAATGGAAAAAATTTAGGAAATTTTCTGAAACTGCTTTGCTTTACTAAATAGATTGATTTCCACTATATTTGGCTATCAAATACCTGACGTAATTGAAACTCCTAACATAGGCCGTTTGCAATTTATCAATACTTGATGTTCTACCAGGCAGTCTGCCAGCGCCTACAATCTGAAATATTTCTCCACTTTTGGTGGTACAAATACACATAATGTACCAGCAGTATTGTTTAAATGACACCTAGCCACGATTTATACTGCAATTTCCATGGGAAAATACATTTTGAGTTTACTTTCAGGACACAGCTCCTCCCAACGTGAAGGGGTTAGGATTTCTCATCACAGCTGCACTTTGGTGATAATGATGACAATGATGGGTGGCGACAAGAGTGACACTTCCCTAGTTTCTCCTGTGGACAGACATGGTTCTAAACACCTGTCATATTTTAAACTCCTTTAACCCTCACAAATGCCTACGAGGTAGTACTATTCCCCTTTTACAATGACGGGGAGAAATGGCTAAGGAACTTACCTGAAGTTGCACAGCCAGTAAGTGTCAGGGCTGGAACTCAAAGGAAAGCAGTCTGGCTCCAGAGCCTACGCTCATGCCATTCTGTAATGCTGCCCCTTTTCTGCCTGGAAGAGGCAGCACTATCCAGGCGTCTAAATTCCTCCGACTGCGGGGAGACGAGAGCAGGGTTTCTCAAGTTTTAAATGCACAGATGATCTTGTTAAAAGGCAGATTCAGGAAGTTTGGAGTGGCGCCTGAGATTCTGCCTTTCTAACAAGCTCCTGGGTGATGGTGAAGCTCCATTAAGTAGGGGAAGAAGCAGAATTTGAGCCTCCAGCTCCCTTGCATTTATACGTTGTGTTTATAAGCTGGAGATGGCCTGCATGTAATCATTTTCCATAAATTCTTCAGTGGAACCTGCCCTTGGTACTGTGGCATGCCAAATACTGGTCTGCAGGTACCTTGAGTAAAGAGTTAGCTTTTAGGAACTAAAAATGTACATGTAAAGGCCACTGCATAAAATGTGGCTATAAAGGTTTGCTGTGAGGCACATTTATAACTATATACCACCAACTATACAAATATCAAAGGATGGTAAATAAATGCCTGTTTATTGTTCATTAACTAGAATCACAGTAAATTAATAACTTTTAGTCTAAAAAAAGAAGCTTCCACTTTAAAATATATAATTATTCATTCTCAGACTCCGCTGCAGGAGTGCTAAGGAGCTTGTGCAATGTAATCTTAAAGACTCTTCTGGTGCATCAGCCATGTCTCAGGTAAAGACAGATGCTACATACTAACATTGATAGAGTAGACAGTGAATACACTCTGCACTCATTTTAGCCAGTACCTCATGGAAGTATACTACTAACAATTGCTACATATCGATTCCAGATTCTAAATCTCTCTCCTCACTCGATTTTACCTCCTTTCCAATACTGAGAGAACCCCAAGGACCATCTCTCCCACTGCCTGCCTGTGATCTCAAATACACAGCTGCATATATTTTTCCAGTTGTTAAATGGATGGGATTCCCTTTCCAGTCAATTTTTTTCCATGCCAGAGTACACAGTAAGGTCATCTCAGTTTGAGATGCACTCACTCCCCAGTCAGCACCACCGCGAACAACAGTTACGGTATGATCACTACACTTCCCTTTCACACTAAAAGGAAACAGTCGGTTTCCAACCCAAATATCTATACTCCCTGAACAACAGTGGAAAGTCATTCTCCTTGAAGACTGACCCAGAATCAAGTGCAGTCTCAGACTGCTAGGCCTACCGCCAGTAGCAACTTAACACATTATACAGCTGACCTTCAGGGAAAAAGGCAAACCAGTGCTTTTATTCCTGGTGCCAAAAGAAAACCAACTAATCTTTAAGGCACAAAATAAACCGTTCTTAAGGCAGAAAAAGAAATTGTGAGGCAACAGGGAGTTAGAACAGAGGCATATAGAGAAAAATATAGAAATTACATTGCCGAGTAAGGGCTAGTGCTGCTACAGTTCTCAATGCTTTTTGATTTGGGACTAAAATGAATTAGCATTTTCCTTTTGGGTTTGAACTATTGTTACCTGGTAAAAATGTGAAGATGTATAAGAAAGACCCATTTTTTAAAGGCTTAGCAACTTAAAGTTGGTAATTTTACTCTGAGCCAGTGACATTAATTACTAAGTTTATGTAGAAGAGTAAACAATCATGGGATATTCTCTCTAATATCAGTCCTCAAGTACCTTCTGGACCTGGCTCAGGAAATGGGGAAGTAGTTCAAATTAAAGGATAAAAATAAAAATAAAGGTCTATCCATGGTTCTACACCCAACGTTGGGGAAGGTCAATTAAGAACATGCAGATACAACAGTGAGAAGCTCTGAGTAAAGAAGCACATTCTGGGGCGCCTGGGTGGCTCAACTGGTTAAGCGACTGCCTTCGGCTCAGGTCATGATCCTGGAGTCCCTGGATTGAGTTCCGCATCAGGCTCCCTGCTCAGCGAGGAGCCTGCTTCTCCCTCTAACCCTACCCCCTCTCGTGTACTCTCTCTAATTCTCGCTCTCTCAAATAAATAAATAAATCTTTAAAAAAAAAAAGAAGCACATTCTGTACCCAGGGTGAATGTTCCATCTGTCCCATCTTACCTACTTATTCTCCATCAGCAAACCTTACCATTAATGATTTCATTTAAATGGAAAAATCGAAATAGGGAATTGTTTCCGAAATAGAGAATTGTTTCTCAAATAGGGAAATTTTTTTTAGTGCCAAACAGAAAGCATTTAAAAGAGTTGGGTTATTCCTTAGCTAGTAACAAGTGCTATGTTTACCACCAAAAGTGATCTACAAAGACCAACTTTATCATGTTATGCCATTGTATTCTTTTAAACTTTTAAGCAACAAAAACATAGCTCAAGTCAGCAAAAACTTATGTTTGACATATTTATAGCAGCAACTTTACAAATCAATTCCTGTATTTTTACTATACAAACATCTTCCACTGATCAACTGGTTTAGCACAAACAGATCAGAGATGGTTTCTTGTGTGTTTTACAAATACTCTACACAAGTCCTTGAGATCATACTTACAGCTTTAGCAAAAACACCCATGATTTCAGGAAACTGGTGTGTGAGAAGAGCTATCATTGCTGTAGAAGAACACAGTCCTGCTGTGAAATGGATGAAAAAAGGAAGCTCCTTCTTTGGGTAAACAGAAACATGATGAAAGGCTGTAAGGGAGAAAAGGTAGAAATGGATTTTATTTAAGAATATAGTGTAAGCCAGTTTTAATATTTTCAAATGAAGTTTAAAACTAAAAGGAAAATAATTGTTTTTAAAAAGAACAGGGCATCTCTGGCTAAGCAAAGTAGAAGAAAGTTATCCATTATTTATTCCAGCATCGACAGCTATCTACAGAGCCAGATGACTGTGCTGGGGACTGGGAATAAGATGGCATCGTGGGAAAGAACATTAATTGTAAAGTCATGCTGAGGTGGTTTTGAAAAAGAGCTTTGTCACTTATTAGCTGTGTGGTCTTGAATAAGTTGCTAAACCCTCTCATAGTTGCTATGGAGTTGTTATGATGAACACTGTAAGTCTTTAAATATGAGTTGTTATAATTCTTGCTCTTCGGGAGCTCAGAGACAAGTATAGTGATCGAGAGACAGATGTGTGGTTGCAGATTTCCTAGAACCATAATTTTACCCAGCTATTAATAAATGTTCTCTGTGTGGCATTTCATAGAGCACCGTAAAAATGGAACTGAACACCAAAGCCCTAAGATTCTGAACATAAATCAAGTCCCTTGTCTTATTTTATTACATTCACACATTAACTCAGGTATTATTTTTCTAATGACTGGATATTTCATTACTCATAGTATTCAAGTATTTATATCTTATTTGAAATTTGATTGAAAATACCTGAATACCAATGCTGAGATGTGACTATCACCATGCGTGGCACACAGTAGGTGCTCAATAAATGTTAAACGGAGAGCTATTCTGGGACTTCATTGTCCAGGAAGTTGACTGCTCAGGGCTGGACACAAACCCAAGAATTCCTGATGTAATATCCTGCATAAGTAAGGGATGACTAATTCAGTACTGAATCAAGGTCAGCTATAAATTTCACTTTTTCCAACATAACGATTCACAGAGAAGATTACACCTAAGTTTCCTTTGGTAGCCATATTTTTTATGTCTTATACTATACTCAAAAGTATATGCCAAAAACTGAACTCATTAAAAATCCAGAAAATTTCCAGAGGCTTGGGTCACATTTAAAGTAAAAGCACACCAAATCTGAATTTGTTTTAAAAAAGTTAGAAACATTAGAAGCTGTGGACAACATTGTACTTTCAGCACCCAAAAAACCAGCAGTCCCTTTTGCCCTGTCCCTCAAGCATGAGAGGCCAACTTCTTCTAGCAAACCAAGAGAAATAAACCATGGTACTTGCAAAGACAGGGAACACTTATGTATACCAATGGTCACTAAAATTCCTATCGCATGAGAGACAGCAACGTTGATAAAATTAAACTGTATAGCATTTAATGATTTACAAAGTGCTTTAATTTCTATTAGTTTGATTTTTTTCAATAGCCTTAAGAGATAGATAGTATTATTTCCACTTTTTTTTTTAAGACTTTTATTTATTTGACAGAGAGAGAGACAGCGAGAGAGGGAACAAGAGCAGGGGCAGAGGGAGAGGGAGAAGCAGGCTTCCTGCCGAGCAGGGAGCCTGATGCGGAGCTCAATCCCAGGACCCTGGGATCATGACCTGAGCCAAAGGCAGACGCTTAACGACTTGAGCCACCCAGGCACCCCTATTTCCACTTTTTAAGGTAGAAAACGATATAGTTTTAGTAAGATAATTTCTTAAAATATGAGCTTTTTATATTATAGGGGAGACCTAATTTTTTCTTTTTGGATTGCTTTCTGTAGATTCGTTTGTCAGTCAATGTTTGGCTAATACATCAGTATAATGGATGACTAGTACAGAAACACTCCCTTGGAAGTAAAGTTCAAATTTCATCACTGGCTTGTAGAGAAAAATTTATCAGGAGGCATAAAAGACAACTAAATAGCTATGTGAACTAAGGGAATAGTTCAAGTCTGAACTTATGAGGTTCCTAAGCAAATTCCAGAATGTTGTAAGTCATATCAAGGTTGAAGGAGAATTGAAAACAAAAAAACATTAAGTACTCCTGGGTATTAGAACTCCACATTATTAAAAAATTGTTCATTCTACCACAGTCAGAGACAGACAAATGCTCTCAGAACAAACAATACAATCAAACAAAACCCCCAGCATATCCCTCCTCTCCTACCTCCTGGAATTTGCAAATGTGTAAGTACCCTAGAAATAATAAAGGCCTGCCAAAAAAGCAAACTCTCTGTTCTTATAGCCTGTGACTCTGGCAATACATAATAATAACCCTGATTTTATTCATATTACTATGTAAAATTGGCCTTAAGCAACTTTTGTAATGATAAATGTATTAACCTAATATAATACACTCCTGCATATTGATGTTCCATAATTAAAGATTGACTCCTTTGCCTTAAATATCCTTGTTTCTGTTAAAATGGAAAAACAACAAGAACAACTACTACCAGCACCATCCTAGGAAAGAAAATAAAATTTCTTTCACTAATGACCTTCTAATTGCCAGAGTCAATGGATTCTTCACAGTAACCACCTTCCTTGATATCAGATACTCCTCCTCACTTGGAAATTTTTAGTTCCTAGCCTATCTAGTTCTGGTTCTTGTCCTGTCTCTGTCCACTCCTTCACTGAATCTTCCCAACTCCTTATCAGCCACCCATTCCTTCAACATTTTTGTGCCCCCATGGTTCCACTCTTAGTTTACTTCTCACTCTACACAGTCTCCCTTAGTGATCTCAACCATGCCTAGAAAATGATGATTCCCAAGTTGGTTTGGTGATGTACAGCGATGTAGAGAGAAAGAGATAGTGGAACCCCCAGGAATCCTGTTTACACAACCTGACCCTGTCCCTAGGCCATGGCTAACCACACCAGGAATAAACACCTGGATAAATCTGATGCTCCCAGAAGTTTTAGAAGCCAGATTGAGATCTTATTCATGCTGTACAATTTGCTTGAACTGATAACGTGTAAACTAGAGCCACGTAAGGACATCAAGTTTGGCTACAAGAGTATCCAAGAAGGCAAAGCCAAACGACAAAGAGAAAGATAGAAAAATGAAGCAGACACATTGAGAGAAGCAGAAATGAGAGTTCATACAGAGAGGAGATGGCATTGGGGAAGGAGAAGAAGAAAAGTACGAACAGGAGAGATGGAAAAAGGCAGCCAGAGATAGAGATATACAGATAACTGACTCCTGGAAATCCTGATAGCCCTCTAGTTTCTGGTTCTAGTCCCTTCTGAGGTCTGACTATAATCTGCTTCAGAAGCTGCCTTTGGATTCTTTGAGATAATCCAGTCTTCAAATTCTAACAAATACCCTTTAAGTTTAAAACAGCTATTACTTGTACCCAAAGAATACCTACAATGTTTACTATTTATGTAATATATACATATTTAATATACATATATGTTTTATAAATATATCTTAGGCCCATATATTATTTAGAGATACAAAAATATGTATATATGTGCAAAATAGATTATAGATTTAAGCATGCATACATATACATGTGCACACACACACACACGATGTGGTATACATGCAACATACTCAAAGCCTGAATTTATTTACTTCCCCCATTCCCGTTCCCAAACCTGCTCCTCCTTCTGTATGATGGATTTCCCATTCTTCAAGTCAATCAAGTCAGATTTGGGAATCATCCCTGCCCTTAGAGAGACAGCACACCCCATTTCAGCTTCCTTATAATCTATTCCATACATGCAGTACTTAACACATTGTTTATCAGTCTTTCTATTAACTCATGAGCAGTTCAGGAGTTTGGAGTAGGATAAGGAGGAAAAGGTACTAATATTTAATATTTTTGTTGAGTACTGACAATGTATTTGGCCTGTTTATGACATTAAGGAGGGCACTTGATGTAATGAGCAGTCGGTGTTATATGCAACTGATGAGTCAATAAACTCTACCTCTGAAACTAAAAAAAAAGAAAAGAAGAGGCGCCTGGGTGGCTGTCATTGGGCGTCTGCCTTCAGCTCAGGTCATGATCCCAGGGTCCTGGGATTGAGTCCCGCATCTGGCTCCCTGTTCAGTGGGAAGCCTGCTTTTCCCTCTCCTGCTCCCCCTGCTTGTGTTCCCTCTCTCGCTGTGTCTCTGTCAAATAAATAAATAAAATCTTTAAAAAAAAAAAAAGAAAAATAATAAATTAATAAATTTGACTAATTAAAATATTTATTGAATATCAATTTTCATTGTGAACATCACAGAGATACATAGAGGGATGATAAAGAGAATCCTGGCCTTCAAGTTTACAATCTAGAAGGGGGAGGTTAAGAAGTCCACAAAGTACTTTGAGAGTTCAAAGAAAAAAACAGATAACTTATCTCAGAGGATGGAAGAAAATAAAAGACCCTGGGAGAAAAATATCAGCATACTCAACTTCCGTAATCTCTCCTAAATTTTCATCTATCTGTTTGGACCTTTCAGTTCACCTCATTTGTTGTTTGTAAAACTGCAACTTTCCTTCTTAGACTTGAGCTCTAATGGCCCCAGAACTGTAAAAACTGTGGCACAGGTTTATATCACATAAGGAAACATGGTGCTAGTGTTTATAACCTTCAGCATGCTTACTTATTGGTTAAATCATAAAAAGAAAAGTTACACAGAAATTCACCAGTTCACAGAGAAGAGTGAGAGGATAAGGCAGCTGAGACAAATAAGTATAGACCATTCTTTTGAGAAGTTTGGCTTCCTGAAAGCAGGGACTCAATGGGACTCTCAGCGATCATAACCCTATATACTTCTGGTTCTCCCCCTAAGTTTAAGACTGCTCTTTTTAGAATTGGAAAGTGTAGTCCCTCCAATTTCATTCTTTGTAAAGACTGCTTTGGCTCTTCTGAGTGTTTTACCTTTCCATATAGATTTTGAGATCAGCTTGTCAGTTTTTGTTCGTAGGGATTGTATTGAATCTATAGATCAATTTGGAGAGAACTGCCATATAAATAATACTCGGTTTTCCAATCAATAAACATAGAATGTCTCTCCATTTACTTAATTTTAAAAAAATTTCTCCCAGCAAATGACGTCGTTTTTAGTATACAAGCCATTTAAATTATTCCTAAATTGTTTGTTCTTTTTGATGCTACTATGATTAGAAGTATTTTCTAAATTTCATTTTTGGACTGATTATTCCCTGCCGGTATATAAATATGCAACTGAGTTTTATATGCAGATATTATATCCTGCAACCCTGCCAAACTTGTTTATTAGATTTAATAGTATTTTTATGAATTTCTTAGGATTTCCTACATAGAAGATGATGTCATCTGTGAATAAAGACAGTTTTCTTCTTCTTTTCCAACATGAATGCCTTTTTATTTTTTTTTTTCTGGCTTGATTGCACTGACTAGGATCTCCAGTACAATGCTGAAGTGAAGTGCAGAGAGCAGACATCCTTGCATTATTCTTAATCTTAGAGAGAAAGCATTCAATGGTTAAATCATAAAATCACCATTAAGTATCCTCTCAGCGGTGGAGTTTTCATAGATGCTCTTTATCAGGTTAAGGAAATTCTCTTATTCCTAGTTTGTTCAAAATTTTTACCATGAATGGTTGTTGGATTTTTGTCAGCCGCTTTTTCTGCATCTGTTGTCATTTATTCTCTTAACATGATGCATTGCCTTTTGAGATGTTAAGCCACTTACATTTGTGAGGTAAATGCCACTTGCTCATGGAGTATAATCTTTTTTATATATGGCTGGATTCAGTTTGCTGATGTTTTGTTGAACATGTTTGTGTCTATATTCATGAGGGATATCATTCTATAGTTTTCTTGTAATGTCTTTGGTTTTGGTATCAGGGTAATACTGGTCTCATAGAATAAGCTGGGAAGTGTTCCTTCCTCCTTTCTTTTCTGAAAAGAGTTTGTGAAGGATTGGTATTATTTCTTCTTCAAATGTTTGTAAGATGACTGCTCTTTTTAATATCTTCAACTTTTGTGTTCTTCATTGCATCTCACATAGCATTTTACCCCAGAAACATATGGGAATGAACTTATGCAACTACATCCAAGAAATGGCTAAAATAGTATTTTAAACAGTATCCTGAATTTCAACCAAAGGCACTTTTACTATGAGAAAATACTATGAAAAACAATCTCACAACTACTTTTGAGTTTAGGAAAACTAGAATATTTACTTACTAGGTAATAGCTCTCTATCAGCAGTCTCTGTGCAGCTGGGATAAGGATAAAATAGATGGCCCTTCTCTAATGGATATGGAATCATTCTAAAAGCTGAGAAAAAAAATACAGAAGTTGACATTCCATTCAGACTCACTTTCACATAGCATTTATTAATTTTTTTAGAGATACCTTTTAGATGAAAGAAACAAAGTAAGCAAAAGAAGGACTAAGAGGAAGAATAAGATTTATTTAGAGAATAGAATGGTCTGGCTGGAATAAAACTAAAGGGAGTAGTGGGTGATAAGGCTGGCTAGGTCCTTCTTGCCTCTGTCTCTTCACTATAAACACAACAGACTTAACTCTGTGGGTATGAATTCCTTTTCTTCCAGTAATCTTCATAAAATTGCAACATGTATAACTGTTGTGACCCAAGCTGTTGGCAACCTACAAGAGTTTTCTCAGTGGCTCCTAACTTCATGTGTTAGATATCAACAAAGTTTTCTACAAGCAGAATTTAACTTAAATCAGAGGTCACCAAAGCATCATCCTTTGGCCAGACCTGGACCACTATTTATGTTTATAAATAAAATTTTATTAGAATACAGATGTTAAAATCACTTGTTCATTTATGTATTATGTAAGGCTGCTTTCATGCTACAAGAATTGGGTAGCTATAACAGTGACTATGGCCACAGAGACTAAATACTTACCATCTGGCTCTTTACAGAAGTTTACCCATCCCTGATCTAGATTATCATCAGCTCTTGCAGACTTCTTAAAGAAGGAATCTTTATTAGCTACTCAGCTAGCTGAGTATTCATCAAAATTGTGATAAGTTTTTGTTTTTCCTTTAGTGCTTAGCTCTATAAACTTTTGTCAAAATATGAATTTTGTTCTGCCACAATAAAAAGTAGGGATTTGTCCAAAGTCACAGAGCAAATCAGTGGTAACACTAGGAAATCATTCATAAAGAAGATTATTTATGAAATACAGTGTAAGTCACATATTTACTGAGAACCTCCTATGTGCCAGGCAGAACATTAGGCACTGAAGACACATACAGGATCAATGAGACAGAGGACCTGGCTTTGAGGAGCTTATTGACTACCAGAGAAAAAGCAAAAGGAAGACTAATTACCCAAAGACATTCCACTCCTCAGTTTTAGTAGTCCCAGTTTCATTAATCTGCATATTGTCAGTGGCAAGCAGTGTCTGACCCTTAGCAAGTGGTTAATGCAGAGGTTCCCAAATTCTCTTGCTTTAAGGATACATGGTGCCCTTCATGTCTCTAACTGTTTATGATGACCCTAGGCTGAAAAAATACCTAACAATTCCACTTAAGTAGTGGGTCCAAACAACTTTAAAGGTTTATGTCCTAACAACTTAGCAGTGATTTGGGGGGGAAATATATATGTCAATTAAAGGGAAAAATAATTATTTCACTTTTTTAAAAGATTTTATTTTTTTAAGTAATTTCTAACACCCAATGTGGGGCTTGAACCTACAACCCCAAGATCAAGAGCAGCATGCTCTACCGACTGAACCAGCCAGGTGCCTCTAATTATTTCATTTTTAAACAATCACCTTTTCTTACTAATGGGATGTATGTACCTGTTGGACACCACATAACTTTTCAGACCTTGGAATCAGATTGGACACCGCCATCCTCATTTCCTGTTCCACACTGATTTTTTTGTGTGGTAGTTCTTTTAATCATAGCAATTAAGAAAAACCCAGCTTTGGGCGCCTGGGTGGCTCAGTTGGTTAAGCGACTGCCTTTGGCTCAGGTCATGATCCCAGGGTCCTGGGATCGAGTCTGCATCGGGCTCCCTGCTCTGCAGGGAGCCTGCTTCTCCCTCTCCCACTCCCCCTGCTTGTGTTCCCTCTCTCGCTGTGTCTCTCTCTGTCAAATAAATAAATAAAATCTTAAAAAAAAAAAAAGAAAAACCCAGCTTTGCAAAGCTATGACAACATCAAAAGAAACAGAATGGAGAGCCACCTAATGGTGAAACCTTGAACTATGCAGAGCTAACAGCTTGAATGATGCTTGACAGATGTTGAGTATTGCTGTTTCCACTGAAATTTTTTAAATATCCCATGATACTTTTGTGAATTTGCTACAATGCCCCAAAGTGCCTCATTACAAAGTTTGGGAACTGAGGGGGTTAACCAATTCTAGTTAATGAGTATTGAATTTATTTTTGAATTTCTATTGATAGCAGGAGTGTACTTTCCAAGACAATCATTATAAGAATTCAACTGACAAAATATTTTGGTTAAGCTTTTTCATTTTCTAAGTGATTTTAAGAAGTTACAAATAAGAGATCTGGTAGTTACTTGAAAAACAATCTAGTTCTCCAAAGAAGACACAGAAATGGTCAATTAGCGCATTAAAAAAATGCTCAACAACATTAATTATTAGGAAAATGCAAATCAAAACCACAATGAGATACCACTTCACACCTATTAGTATGGCTATTATTAAAAAAAAAAAGAACAAATGTTAGCAAGGATACAGAGAAAGTGAAACCCCTGTGCACTGCTGGTGGAATATAAAATGGTACAGGTGCCAAAGAAAATAGTAAGACAGTTCCTCAAAAAATTAAACAGAATTATATAATCTACAGGTTCCACTTCTGGGTATATACCCAAAAGAACTGAAAGCAGGAACTTGAACAAATACTTGTAATACCCATGTTCATAGCAGCATTATTCATAATAACCAAAAGGTGGAAACAACCCAAATGTCCATGACAGATGGATGTATAAACAAAGTATAGTATATACATACAATTCAGCCCTAAAAAGGGATGTTTTTCTGACACATGCTACATTATGCTAAGTGAAGTAAGCCTGATTTAATGAGACAAATACTGTATGATTCCACTACAGAAGGTATCTAGACTAGTCAAACTCATAGAGACAGAAAGTTGAATGGTTACCAGGGGCTGGAGAGGGGAAGAATGGGGAGTCATTGTCTAATGGGTACAGAATTTTCAGTTTGGGATGATGAAAAAGCTCTAGGGATAGATGATGGTGATGGTTGCACAACAATGTGAATGTACATAATGCCATTGAACCATACATTTTAAAACTGTTAAAATGGGGGTACCTGGCTGACCCAGTCGGCAGAGTGTGCGACTTGATCTCAGGGTTTTGAGTTCGAGCCCCACGTTGGGTGTGGAGATTACTTAAAAATAAAATCTTTAAAAAACAATAAAAAATAAATAAAATAAAGTGGTTAAAATAGTAACTTTTATGTTATGTGTATTTTACCATAATAAAAAAATAGATTGTGAAGATACTAGTTGTGAAGAAAATAGTTCATGATGTAAACATCTGAAAATTAAACAAAAGTCCAATTTTAAAAATACTAGAACAATAACTCAACCACATTAAAAAGCCTATAAACCAAGAGATGTAAGTTTTCATTTTCTTTCCTTACAAATATGTAACTTGAATGAACATATGGCAGAATACTGTAACAGTTTCTCATTTTGCTCTTCCTAAATGTGGCATCAGTATAAGTACATTAAATTTCTCCTACCAATAAACCAAATAAACACCTCTGGGTTCACTTTGAAACCAATCTGAACAACAATACTTAGGGAAACTCAGACAATCTGATTTAAAAAGGCTGCCTGGGAATGCAGTGAATAGTCCGAGAGATTAGTGGTACATTTGGAAAAGAATACTTACTGCCTTCCCACGTACACTGTAACAGATTAAGAGCACCTTCTATTCTCTTCCAGTGCTGAAGATGGAAGAAAGCATAGGCGATTGCTTCACTATCACCCCGTTTCAGAATGTGCTCTGGAGGTAAAATTAGACTTTTCATCTCTAGTAAGTACTAGAAAGATAACACACACAAAGACACACCACAGAAAAACGAAAACTTAAATTAAGTTCAAACACCCACAAAAATGTAGATTCAAATTTTACGTTAAAAAACAAATATTAAGCTAGTTGAGATGACAAGAGGGTCACACTGATAGCATGTGTATAAAATGCTCATCTATGCAAATTCCAAAGATCAGAATATTCCTAAGGGCAAAAATAAGGTGATAAACGGCTTACGTATGACCTTGCTAAATACATAATGGAAATTCAAGCTGAGGAAATAATGTGAGAGCAAATATCTATTTTTCCAAAAGAGAATTAAGTATAAAAATCATAAAATACAATTTTGGAACAACATTTTGTGGTGACATTCAATTCTTTTTTTCTCTCATTCCCATCTTATAGGTGGAGGAACTTAATTGTGAATAAGTTCAATTAAATTAATATCTACTGAGAGGAAAGCACTATGTTAGGAAACACTAGATTCTCTGGAGCTTCCTACTGTAATAGAAAGACAGATTTCTTAAGTTAATGATTATAATAAGACTATGCTGAGTGCTTTATTAGAGGTATAAACAGTGTATATAAGAATTTGGATAGAAGATACTAATTTTTTCAGCTTTTTTTACAATAGATTTATTGAGATATAATTCATATTTTACAATTCACCCATTTAAAGTTTATGACTCAAAAAAAAAGTGTACAACTCAATAGTTTTTAATATATTCACAGATAAGTACAACTATTACCACAGTCAATTTTAGAACATTTTCACCACGGCAAAAAGAATCCCCATCCTCTTTAGTTATTACCCTCTAACACCCATTCCCCCTAAGCAACCACTAATCTGCTTTGCACCTCTATAGATTTGCCTGTTCTGGCTATCTTATACAAAAAGACTCACATAATATATGGTTTATTGTAACCGGTTTCTTTCACCCCACATGTTTTCAAGGTACATCCATGTTATATCATATACCAGTACCTTGTTCCTTTTTGTGGCTGAGTAATATTCCATTATATGGATATACCACATTTGTTTATCTATTCATTATTTGATGACCATTTGGTTGTTTTCATCTTTTGGCTATTATGAATAATGCTGCGCAGGATAAACATTCATGCACAAGTTTTTATTGGAACATATGTTTTCATCTCTCTTGGGTATATACCTAGGAATGGAAGTGCTGGGTCATGTGGTAACTATATGTTCAGGAGGTATTAATTATGATTTAGGAGTTGAAAATAAACCACTTGATGGAATTGGGGATATTAACTGACATATAAAGATGTGTAAAATGTAGATGAACAGACTAGGTGGTGGGGTAGGGAAACACAGCGGGCTGGAATACAGGCCAACTTGAACAAGGCTAAGAATGCTTAGAGCAAGACACATTTAAGGAATTAGTGAGTGTGCCTCTTAAAGAAGTTACGGCCTGGGCGCCTGGGTGGCTCAGTTGGTTAAGCAACTGCCTTCGGCTCAGGTCATGATCCTGGAGTCCCGGGATCGAGTCCCGCATCGGGCTCCCTGCTCGGCGGGGAGTCTGCTGCTCCCTCTGACCCTCCCCCCTCTCATGTGCTCTCTCTCTCTCGTTCTCTCTCTCAAATAAATAAATTTAAAAAATCTTTAAAAAAAAAAAAAAGAAGTTACGGCCTATCAGTTCTTATTCACATATGAAATTAAATGATATCTTAAAGTCTTGAAGAAAATACTTGCCTTAATATTATAATCCACAACAAAAGCAGTATAATTAAATGTACTAATTCCATGAAAAAAGACACAAAATTAACCACTTGTACATCATCTTTACTATTAAAGTGGTCAACTTAAAACAAAACTTTTCAAAAAACACTTAGCTAAATACTTCCTCCAAAGACTAAGCCCAGAGTACATTTCCCCTACTAGACTGGTTTGAAAACAACCTCTTCGGTGCTACCTAACTTGATACCAAATTATGTGTGGTAAGGTCCAAACCACTTAACTTCTGTTATAAAATATAGAAAGAGACACACTTCTAAGAAGTGGTGTAAATGATACATTCTCAAACTTCAAATTCTAAGTTCCTCAGGTCGTTACACAAACTAAGGAGATAAACAACCTAAATTTGAGCTGAAACTTGTGAAACACTGTAAAACTGCTACAAGCAGGAAGAAACAAAAAAGTGTGGTGGTTTCAAAATTGAGCCTTAGGTTATTAGTCAACATATATGTATGCACTGTATTAATATACCTAAAATAATTTTTTCTTTTTTATGAAATGTGCCTTTCCAACACTCACTGAGCTTAATGCCCATCTTTAATTACTCTTACTCCTATACCTCAATAAAGCTGGAAAAAAAAAATAATAGTTAATCTTGATGTCTCTGGCTCTCTCCTCAAAGTGTAAGAATGCAGTCTGCTCATCAATTTATTTTAGCAGATGTCACAAGCTATGAGATTATTTACTAATCCAGTTTGGGGACTTAACATTTCCCATTCAGTTTCTTAAAGGAATGCAGCAGAGGTTGTGTCCTGGTCAAGCAAAGCCCATTTGCTGCCTGGTTGGGTTCTCTCCCCTTAGTGCCTTGGGCCTATATTCAGCAGGGTAATATTCTTTCTAATCCTCTCTAATCCTTGCCCATTTTTTTAAAACACAGTAAAAGATCACTCGCACCAGGCGGCTGTGGGAAAATGGACTCAAATAGCTGACCTCTGACATGACTCCTTATGTTCTTAGCAAGTGCACTAAGAGCTTCTTCAGTAGGAAGCAAAAAAAAAAAAAAAAAAAAAAAGCAGCAGTCACAATGGAATCTCCATCATAAAAAGAGTATCTCATTTTCAGACGAAAACTGTTTTAATACGTAAACCAAGTCCTTTCTATTAAAATTCTACTTCATTTTACAGGTGGAAGAGACAAAGTATCCCAAATTATTTTCAATGAGTTTTAGAACCCTGAAACTTTAAATTAAACCTACCTTGGTAGCCACTTAGCAATTGGTAAGCCAAAGATATTCACTTAACAATTATTCAGTCAAACTTAGAGAAAATATCAACTAAATATGTCAAGAAAATACTTTTTTGAACAGCAACTATATATTTTCAGTTTAATGATCTGAGTGACAATTCAGATAGTCAAGCACATATGGCATGTTTATTAGGAACTGACTTCAGGAGTTTATATTTTAAAATCTTTGCCATTTAATCATTAAAAAAAATCTTCTTATGCTATCTTATTTTTCATTACATCTCACCTACAAGCAAATGTCCTTTCCAATTTGACTTTAAAACAAAGCAATTCTTATGTTTCAGTTTCTAATAAGACACTGAAATAAAGTTCCACTCTCAAAATATAAGGGAAAATTTTCCGTTTAAGGAAGATATCTTTAAAATAGGTAATCATAGGATTATAACTTATTTATTTCCTTCACAAACTGCTACTCAGGAATTTCTGCTACCCAGCATAAGCTGTAAGTAACTACACAATAGAAACCACATCCTTCATATTCTACTATAGCACCTGGCACACTCCACTCCCAAAGTAGGCACTTAGACACTTACTAACTGACCTGATCTGATATATATAGCTAAAATGTCTTCAGACTCATGTTTATATTTCAGTTTTTTCTTAAAGATATTTTTTCACTCTCTGGGCAAACTAAAAACAAAACAAAACAAACTTTTGCTACCTAGACTTTATTTTTCTGTGAATAAGAATATGAAAGGTTGAAAACTGAAGAGTGGTTGGTTTGGTTTGGGTTTTTTTTCTGCTTCTGAAAGTACATGCTTAGTGCATAAAAATTCAAACACTGCAGAATTACATAGTAGAAATACTATATTAAAAGACTGGGGAATAGGGGTGCCTAGATGGCTCAGTCAGTTGAGCATGTGACTCTTGGTTTCAGCTCAGGTCATGTTCTCAGGGCTGTGAGATGGAGCCCCACGTTGGGCTCCACACTCAGCTCGGAGTCTGCTTGCTCCCTCTGCCCCTCCCCCTGCTCACACTCTTGTGCTCTCTCTAAAATAAAATAAATAAAATCTTTTTTAAAAAAAGACTGGAGAATAAAAGAATAAAGAGAAAAGGATAATCTAATTTATATTTGTCTGGATTTCTTTACACATAACATCCTTAAAAACAGGATCAAACTTTTATGTAACTCACTTTTTACTTCACAATATATCTTGTACATCTCTTATCTCTATATAGATCTAACTCATTATTTTTAATTGTTATATAGTGTTCCACTAAAAGCTGGTTATTTTGGGGCACCTGGGTGGCTCAGTTGGTTGGGTGACTGCCTTCAGCTTGGGTCATGATCCTGGAGTCCTGGGATCGAGTCCTGCATCGGGCTCCCTGCTCAGCGAGGAGTCTGCTTCTCCATCTGACCCTCCCCCCTCTCATGCTCTCTCTCTCTCTCATCCTCTCTCAGGTAAATAAATAAAATCTTAAAAAAAAAAAAAGCTGAGTTATTTTATAAGAAATAAGGTCATGCTGAAATTGTACTACCATTCTTAAAAGGCCAAAAATAATAACATTAAGTGAAACTCATAAAAATGTTAAGTAAAACGGCTTCAAAATTCCCCAAAAAGTGATGGGATCTAAAATTTTACTTTGTTTAACTTGGTTTGTCTAACTTAGGTCTTTATAGCAAAATAAGTCCAAAGTACAGACATGTCTATTTACCAAACATCTACTGAAGCCTGTTACGCGTTAAGCAGAGTTTCAAACATAAAATGATATGTAAAACAAGAGTTCTGCTTTTTAGGGAACTAAGGAAGAGACATACAAACAGACCAAAAAACAAACAAAACAAAACCAAAGCCAAGATATGATTACAGCATTGAAGGAATGGAGAAGAGAGAGCCATTATCTCTGCTTGGGAAAAATGGTAATGACACCTCTACAGAAGAGGCAACAGATGAGCAAGATCCTGAAGAATGAGTAGAAACTTGCCATGTAGAGAAGAAATTAAGCATATGTACAAAGGTAGGGAGACATGATGAGACATGACCAATCCAGGGAATAATGAGGCA